TCCAGGCAAAGACATTTAATGCATAATAGCAAGCTCTACTAAGGTGAGTATCTCATAGGCTGGAATTTCTGCAAGCAGCTTATATGATCTAGCAGAATTTCTTCTCTGTGGCGATCAAAAGCTCATCACATTATTATTGCAAGAACTAAATGTACATATTGAATAGCTATTTCATGGTTGATGTTACAATCTGAGTATACTCATAGGTAGTCTAAAAAAACATGTAGTTTGTAAAGGATATATTTATTAAATCTGAATCCAGGAACACTCCCTCTATCTTGTTACAAACCTGTACCTTGATTCAGATTATAGCCTGTTTGGCATAATGCTTAAGAAATCAGGCTAGAAATTGGGAAACTGTGAGTCCAGCCTTGGGTATGAAGTCAGCTGGGTGACCCTGGTCTAGTCACTTTCTCTCTCAGTGCTAGGAAGGAGACGATGGCAAAACACTTCTGAAAAACCTTGCCAAGAAAACTGCAGGGACTTTCCAGGCAGTATCCAAGAATGAGATGGCATAGGAAGTAAGGGGAAAAAGATGATAGCTAGCCTATCCATTCAGATTTATGGAAGTTTTAGATTCTATTGGAGAGAGGTGTTGGCTGAGATATAGTTGGACCTCTTCTTCTTCTTTTTGCCTGGCCATCTCATGTATTTGTAGTGATTCAGTTGCAACATTAGCTCAGACTTCACTATATTTTCAACACTGCCCCTTGTAAACTTTAATATTACCTTTATTTCACTTTAATGTCATTTTATTTCAAAGACTGGAACCCCTCCCCTTTCTTTATTTAAAAGCCTTGATGACCCATTTGATTATGCATTTCTCTGACCACTAACAGAGAAGCTATATCGCTGAGTAAAATGCCCGTAAAGATTAATACATTGTAAAACGCACATTCACCATTGAGTAAGAAAACTCTCAATAGTTTTGAGCATTGCCTATTCACATTTCCATTCTGTCAAGATTCAGCTTATCCAGATCATTACTTTATTTAATCATCAGGATTTTTAGTTAGTGATTATTTATTTAATTAAATTTATACGTTGCCACCACCCCCCCAATTCGGATGGTTTACAAATGATAAAAAAGATAAATACAAAAATAATTAGAATTAAAAGAATGATAAAAAAAAATTAGAACCAAGAAGAGGAGTGGCACAGTGGGGAGGTCCTCTTACTCCATCAACCACCTCCAGCAAAAAGCACTCCTATCAGGCCCCAAGCTAGGTGAAAATCATTAATAGGCTCTGCAACAAGGCCCTTCCACTGGAACAAGTAGAGCAGGATAATCCCATTTGGGTGAGACAGCTCCTCAGATACCCTGGACTCATGCCATAAAGGCCTTTAAAGGTAATGATCAACACCTTGAATTGGACCAGAAGCAAACAGGTAACCAATACAGCTCACACACCACCAGTGTTACCTATGCCATGTTCGGACCTTCAGAAGTGTCCGCGCCACTGCATTCTGCACCAACTTCCAAACATACTCTTCAAGGGTAGCCCCATGTAGAGTGCATTGCAATAGTACAATTGAGAGATGACTGCGGCCTTAGTGACTATATACAGGGCCTCCTAATCCAAATAAGGGTGCAACTGCTGCACAACATGAACTTGTGCAAAGGCCCTCCTAGCCATGACTGCCACCTGCTCTTTTAGTCTAGAACAGGGGTCAGCAACCTATGGCTCTGGAGCCACATGTGGCTCTTTCATTCCTCTGCTGCGGCTCCCTGTCGCCAGTCAGCTCCACAATTGATAGAGCTTTCAGTTAGGATAGGTATAAGAAAAAGGACGCCGCACTAGTAGGAGACTCTATGGTGGGGGAACCAGACTTCTGCTTGGCTCCAGAATTGAACGGGGAGTGGGGGTGGGTGGGTGGTTCCGGTTAGGGCCTTTATGGCTCTTTGAGTGTTTAAGGTTGCCAACCCCTGGTCTAGAAGAATCTACTGAGGGCGCATTGAGTCTGTCTGGGATAACCCATCCAGACCCCCACAGGCCTCCAGGCACTGCTTAACCTAGTTAACAACAACAAAAAATCTAAATACATGAATCTATAGACCTGTTCAGCACTTATAATGTCTTATCGAACTTCAGAGCAGAAAGTATATTTATAATATTTAGATGGCTTCACATCAGAGAATAGGCCAACCTGAGGTAACAGCATGCTCAAGCATCCCAATCAAATTTGGATTAGTTAACCCATGCAACTGAGGACGACGAGTTATTCTCCCATGAATGGAGAAAATCTGATCCTAACCAGATGTGGAAAACTACTATCTTACTAGGATTTGAACCTTGCCTGCCACTTTCTTTAATCAGAAAACTACTGCATCGAAGTGCAACATTCTTGGCTAGAATTTGTATTAAAGTGGATTTAAACATCAAGTTTCATTTCAAGGTTCCAGAAACTACTTTGCGATCACTTAGATGTTTATTCTCCAATCCTGATCCCCATATGTAATCAGAAATAACCTCATTCACTTCAATAGAACACAATTCCGTGTAAGCATAGTGTACAGAGGACCAACACTTTGCCGACCAAATAACTTTAACGTTCTGGGAAATCCATCCAAAAATCTATCCTGCGTCTTTAAAATTGTAATGCTCAATTCTAATGAACAAAGTTTTTAGATTATACTTCCATACTTTATCATTTTGCATAATCACTTAAAATGCATCCTTCTTCATAACATGTGCAATTGAAACTTGATTTGAAACTAAACCTGTATTTTTTTCTTGATTATTTTAAGGATTTCATAATGTAAATCCATATTTGACTGTAACCTTGTTTAAAAGGTCCTAAAATATCCACTGAATTGAATTCTACTAAATCTTTTTTACAAAGCTGAATTAAGGTTCCTCTCCCTCTTATTTTCTGTATAATTAAAAAAAAAGCTAGGAACATATTTTGGCAAGTTATTTGCACAATACTACGTCATACCTTGGTTTTGCAATCTACAGAGATCAATGCCAAGTAGAAAAGTAATGCTTGATTTAATCCACACCCTTGTATAATTTGGCTGAGAATACTTCCTTTATCCCAAAGGCACAGCGGTAATTATCCTAACATATACCAATTTCACATAAATAGGAGTTTTCTCATGATAAAGCTTTGGAATCTTCAAAGTTTTGCAGCTAATGCGTTCAGCATTTCTATATTTTTCAGCTAAATATTTTTAATTAACATGCCTAGGAGTAATTTATAACAAAGAACACTTAATGGAGGAATCTGTGCTGTCTTGATTTCATTGTAAACACAATAAGCAAGCCAACATTTTTAAAAAGTTACACTATTCTGACATTTGTATTGTCACTTTTAAGAAATTATCAATCAAAGGGAAGATTTTGAAGCACAATCTTTTAAATGCAAAGAATACAAACCTAGCGTGATGTCATACTTGTGGTTATTTTCATGAAAAACCCAAACCAACAGTATCTTGAACAGAGAGTTCCATCAAGAATTGTGTGTTCTGGGATGTGTTTTTAAAAGCAAGAATGAGTAGACAACTTTGCAGCTTTCTTGCTGTTTTTTTTTTTTGCAATCACACCATTCATTGGGTTTTCCTTTCTCAAGCACTTTTTTGTGCCCTTTTAACAAAGCGAGATTCAGTCATTTTCTTGGGTACAAATTCAGCTCCCCTTAGGCAGCAAGCTCTGAATGGATGTTTACCTGAACTTCCCTTAGCAGCCCTAAGAACATGAAAGCAGTTCCAGAGTTTTTTTTTTTTTTTCAGACAGAGAAAACAATCTTAATGTGATTAGTTTACTGAAGGCAGGTCTAGAAATAGCATAAAGCAGCACCTTGGCTGACCTTGGAAAAAGATAAGAAGGGTTAAACTGGTTTGGACTTGAATGGAAGACCAGCAGGAAATATCCAGGACTCTGGAGTATATTGGGAAGTTGAAAAACAGTCTAGAAGACAATAGTGGTAAATCATTTCCATACTGTGATCAGAAATGCCATACAGCTGCCTCTAGGACAGGGGTGAGGCACCATGGCCCTTTTATGACTTGTAGACTTCAACTCCCAGAATTCCTGAGCCAGTTGTCATAGGTCCTATGGGTGCCCAAGGGTCCCCAAGGATAACTTGAAGGGTACATTACTTTACCCTATCCTGATTCATCTCTGAACATCTTTTAGCCAAGTAACTGTTCAGCTGTCATATTGCTTATGTACAAAAACTTGATATTGCCTTTTATTAAAATGGCTGGCTTTAAAATGGCGGGAGAGGGGTTTGCCTTCCATGCAATCTGGACTATCCTTTGTTAAAAAAAAAAAAAGCTTCCAAAGAGTACCTGGGTTGCGCTCATCAATATTATATCACTGAATTGGGCAGAGTAAGAATTCAGGGCTTTTGGAAAGAAGTTAAGGGGCTTAAGTTATTCCTTGACGTTCTCCAAAATAGGGGGAATTGTCCCAGGCTCTAATTTTTTACATTGCTCCATATTTTTACAAGACTGCTAGAATCATGATAACTGGATTTGAAATAATCCTGAATACAATAATCATCTTAATTTGCATGATAGTCATGCCGATAGAAATCTGATTTTGGAATCTGCTTTTAATGATGAAAAGGTTTTAGAATCTTATAAATAAAAAACACTTATTTCCAATAAGCCAGGATTCTCTAATGCTTTGGTTTATCTTTCTCAGAGAATGTGGCTAATGGTTTGCCAGAACAAGCAGTGAAAGGATCTGAAGTATATAACGACATGAAACCAGATTACTTTTATGGTTTCCTTTCTTCAATTACTTATTTTTGTCCCATTAGATCCAATGGGATGGCCTTTCTCCACCTTCCATCTATTAAATATAGGCAGTTCTCAATTTACGAGTAACATACAGCCATCCACAAAGTTGTGGCAAAGTTATGACTATCACACTTTTGCTGAGGTCACATGATTGCAATTTGAACACTTGGCAATCAGGTTGCCTTTATGACAGTCACAATGTCTCTTTCTTCCATCACAGTACCAATATGGTTTAAAGAAATTTGAAGCTGATTTTGTAAGGAGGCACTAATCAAACTAGATATATTAAGCTTTCCATTAGATACAGGATGCTTCCCTGTGTCTCAAACCATGTCTTGTAAGTACAATAGTTTACCATCAAGTCTTTCTTTTCTTTCTTTTCTTTTCTTTTCTTCTCTTCTTTCCTTCCTTCCTTCCTTTCCTTCTTTTCTTTCTTTCTTTCTTTCTTTCTTTCTTTCTTTCTTTCTTTCTTTCTTTCTTTCCTTCCTTCCTTCCTTCCTTCCTTCCTTCCTTCCTTCCTTCCTTCCTTCCCTCTTCCTCCCTCTCTCTCTTTCTTTATCACTCATCTCCCTCAAGAGGAACATTTATATCATTTATATTCTGGTTTTTTTCTGATAGCAAAAGATTGCTTATGTAGGGGCTTGCCTTAGTTTTAGTTTTAACAATGGTGTGAGATGTATGGGGCTGACACAAAGTGCTAGCTCAAAGTCATCCATTTGAGTTCTGTTCTTGAGGGGGGACTATAATCCAGCTCTTGCCAGTCCATACTCAACATTTTAACCAATACATTATTGGCTCTTATTTAATTATTTATTTGCCAGAATACATTAGGGGTGGGGAATTGTGGTGGGTGGGAGTGTGTTTGGGGATTGTTATCTGTGTTGGACCTGGTCTTTGGGTGTTAAGTAAATTTCGTTGTATGGGAATACTGTGTATACACGTACAATGACAACAAAGTTATTATTATTTTCATATTACAAAAGTCTTTCCTTCCCACTAGTTAACACCAGAAATAACTTTAAATCTCCATAAATATTGCAAGATTGTAAATTTCATGGTCACAAACAAGGTTTTGGATTTAATTCAGGATTCTTCCCCTTTTTTTCTTTAATGTTGAAATAAACAACATTTTTCTCCAGTTTTTGAAGTATCCCATAAATTTTGGGGAATTCTTATAAAAAAACACAGATGCAATAAATAACTAGAGGAAAAAACACACACTTTTTCCTAGGCAGGGCTTCACACAGAACATTTTTCTTCAATTAATCTTTTCTCTCCTTCTCCCAAATCCTCTGCACAGCACAACATGCCTACGTATTCATGCAAACATACCACTATAACCTAATCAAGATATTTTTCATAATGGCTAACAAAGATTGCATTAGATGTATTATTTAACTACTTTTTAAAAAAACCAAATGGCTGTCAGATTCTAGAAGAATGGAGAATATAAGGAATTGAAAATGATGATAGGGCTTTGCTTATATACAAGTTGTACTTTCCCATAATTTCACTATACATACATGTATAGTGAATACATATATGTACCGTGTTTTCCCGAAAATAAGCCCTCCCCGGATAATAAGCCCTCCCTTGAAAATAAGCCCTCCCCAAAATATTTAAGTGCATGCGCAGCCGGTCTCCACCATTTCCTCTGGTTAGGGTTAGGGAGACAGAGCTGGAAATCAGGTAAGACAGCAAGAGGAGCCCCGTCTTGCTCCACGCGCCTCAAAATAATAAGACCTCCCTGAAAATAAGGTCAAGCACTTATTTCGGGGTGCAAAAAAATATAAGACAGGGTTTTATTTTCGGGGAAACACGGTATGCATGTTTGTATGTATATATATGTATGTATATATGTATACATATATTCTTATAGGTATGCATACTGAAGTTATAGGAAAGTACAACTTGTATATAAGCAAAGCCCTACCATTGTCTTCAATTTTTATATGCTCCATTCTTTTAGAATATGTATTACATTATATGTACATGTATATGTTCTATCTATCTATCTATCTATCTATCTATCTATCTATCTATCTATCTATCTATCTATCTATCGACACACACACAGACAGAGTATTATGACATTTTAAAAATATTTTCTCAGCTAAGAATGGTAGTGACATGACCCTGACACTATGATGTGTTTTATTGCAGTTCTTGAGCCTTTTCTTTTTGGGATTCATGGCAGATTTCTGAAAATATTTAACTATTATTTATTGGTTTTGGTAAAAACCAAAGAGAAAACCACTTTTCCATTATTTAGCAATGTTATCTCTGGGGTTCCAGGAACTACAGGAAAAGGATTGAGTAGGCCCCTCTGCTTTTTAACTACAATTAAGCTCTTGTGTCGTAAGAGTGGGTTTAACGCTGTAATTGTGGATTAATTTTTAAGACAAATTTTGAGGGCTCAGATGAACTTGTCTACTCTTTGTAAATCACAAAGTGAATAGGTATGTAATATTTTACCAAGCCCCACGTGGTAAAAATCCAATGTTTTGCACCTTCAATCCAAAAATGCTGAGCGAATTGTTCTCTAAAAAGATAAAGGTAAAGGTTCCCCTCACACATAAGTGCTAGTCATTCCTGACTTTAGGGGGTGGTGCTCATCTCCGTTTCAAAGCTGAAAAGCCAACACTGTCCGAAGATGTCTCGGTGGTCATGTGGCCGGCATAACTGAATGCCAAAGGCGCATGAACACTGTTACCTTCCCACCAAAGGTGGTCCCTATTTTTCTACTTGCATTTTTTACGTGTTTTTGAACTGCTAGGTTGGCAGAAGCTGGGGCAAGTAACAGCACACCTCGTTACACGGCACTAGGGATTCGAACCGCTGAACTGCCAACCTTTCGATCTGACAAGCTCAGCGTCTTAGCCACTGAGCCACCGTGTCCCTCTTGTTCTCTAGCTATTATTAAATATTATATTTCATCACACTCAACTGTTGTCAAAGTTTGGCATTACAGCAAGTAATGCTCACATGTTGGTAGGCTGATAGACATACAGTCCTTTATTATTTATTGCTGGGAAAAAAAGAAGTTATATTGTAATGTCATTTTTAACAAGCATATGGCACTAACGTGTACATTCTGGTTACTTGTCACTTCCAATTCACTTTGTACATGGTTTACAAAGTAAACAAAGTTTACAAATTAATGGAAGAAAACCAAATATATATCTACTACTTATTTTTTGGAATGGAATAAAGCAACTTCCTCAATCTTGATTTCCTTCTGATGGGTTCCAACTTCCCAAATCCCACTTGGCCTTGTGGAGGCACAAGGCTGAAGAAAACTATCTTAGAAAAAAAAACTTAGGTTGTCACAATTTTGCCACAGCTAATTGTGACAGATATACAAAATCTTTTCCTACATCTCTCTAAAAATTATATTCTTATAGCAAAGGAATCATAGCAATTGTTATAAAAATTTTTAGTTTAAGCTGTAGAGGTCAATAAGATCTTCGAATGTCCCAGCAGCTACAATTAAGCCAGATTTCTTTTATCAAGAAAAACTTTATTTAAAATCAATAAACTATTTACATTTTAAATCACAGAACATTGTCTCTTGGTCTTTATTTATTTTTTTAGGTAGATGTGCCTAGAGCATAATCCTTTCTTCTCTCTTTCTCTCCTTTTTTCCTGTTCACCTTCTGCTGTGTGTGTGAGTAAAGGGGGTCATATTTATAGAGTGGCTAAGCCACTCCTCCTTCAGTCCCTTAGCAAAATGGAGGGAAAGTATGAACACAAAACCATCCTTCCAGTATAGACAGTGTAGTTCAGTGGCACTATTTTAGATTATTATCTGACAGCAATGAATCCAAGAGATAAACAGAAGTTCCATTGTCACCTAAATGTTATGAATGTTCTCATGGGAACTTTGATGAGACTATGCTGTTCCTTTTGCTAATATTTTACATTGGTTATTCTAAAATTATGGGACGCAGTGGCTCAGTGGCTAAGACACTGAGCTTGTCAATCAAAAGGTTGACAGTTCAGTGGTTCAAATCCCTAGTGCCACATAATGGGGTGAGCTCCCGTTACTTGTCCCAGCTTCTGCCAACCTAGCAGTTCGAAAGCACGTAAAAAATGCAAGTAGAAAAATAGGGACCACCACTGGTGGGAAGATAACAGCGTTCCATGCGCCTTTGGCATTGAGTCATGCTGGCCACATGACCACGGAGACATGGACAGCGCTGGCTCTTTGGCTTTGAAACGGAGATGAGCACTGTCCTCTAGAGTCGGGAACAACTAGCACATATGTGCGTGGGGAACCTTTACATTTACCTTATTCTAAAATTCCACACTAAGATGGTTTGCATTTTTTTTGTTTCATTTTCTAAAATAACAATTTTGTTTTTTAAAAGAACTGATATTAATCTGGTCAATAAAATGCCCAGTTTAAGGTCACCGCTGCAAACTGAAGTTCTTTCAATAATATCTAAAACATATGGAATAATTTATTTACTACGAAGAATTAGAAATTATTAACACACTGCACTTGTAAAATCTACAATGGCACATCATTAATCAATCAAGATTCAGAGAGCTGTGGAGACATGATTTTATTTTTAACAGACCCCAGGCATAGTGCCTTTTATGGGGATTTTAGATTCAGGTTTCGTTTCTAGAATTTTATTTTAGCAATTTTCTTTATTTGATTCGCCTTTCTTTCCTTAGTGGGCTAGAAACCAGGAGACTGTGATTTCTAATCCCACTTTAGGTATGAAAATCAGCTGTGTGACCAGTCACTCTCTCTTTCTCTCAGCCCAACCCACCTTATAGGGTTGTTGTTCTGAGGATAATAGAAGGAAGAAGTATTATGTATGTTTGCTGTCTTGTGTTATTTATAAAGCAATAAAGGCGGGATAAAAAACTCAAATAAATAATGCCACAACACACTGAAACTGCCTGGGATAGAGATGTATGGGCCCAAGTGTAAGATAAATAAATCAAAAGATAGGGAGAATGCAAAGATGGGACCAAAAGAGGGAAACTTTTCTTAGTGCAGCTTTCTTCAAGCTGACACCTTCCAAGTGAGTTCCACAGAACGAAGGTGGAGATGGGAGCTGTAGTACTGTACAGTAGTGGCCAAAATTGTGGAAACCTTTTGGGAAAGTGAATTTTTGAAGTTTGATGGCTAATAACACCACTTTTGGGGGGAGTTTCAAGATAATCATATTCTACTGATGGAATGACCTGGGAATAGTCCAGACCTTAACCCAATTGAAAATCTATGGAGCCTTGTTAGTCAGAAGCGACCCAGCAATAAAACCCAATTAATAGAAGCAATCATTCAATCTTGGTTTCACATTATAACAGCTGCAGAACTAAAAGATTTGGCTCACTCCATGGGAAGGTGTTGTAAGGCCATAATTCATGCTAAATGTTATCCTACTAAGTATTATCTGATGTGATAATTTTTGTATATCTCATTTTTTCTATGGTGATAATTTTTGTGTATCTCATTTTTTTCTACATGTTTCACTTTTCTTCTTTATACTGTAAATACTAATCTAATAGCAAATCCTTCATAAAAGTTATTGCATTACATTCTTGATTAAATTACCTTTCCATTGATATATAATTTTATGGCACTACTCCCCCCCAAAAAAGTGGTGTTATTAGCTAGTTTTAGAAAATACACTTTTCTCAAAAGGTTTCCACAATTTTGGCCACTACTGTAGATCTATGGAGCATTACAGGTTTTCTTTATTTAACCACCATTCGTTTAGCAACAGTTCAAAATTATGATGATGCTGAAAAAGTGACTTACGCTTTGCTTGTGAAAGTGGAGGTGAAAGGTACAAATGATAATCACCTGACACTGGAACACTGCAATAGTCTTCTTAAGTGTGAGCTGGTTGCCAAGCACCCAGATTGTGATCACATGACCATGGAGTGGCTGGAATGGCCAGAACTGAAAGGACTGGCCATAAGTACTACTCTTGCAGTACCATCATAATGTCGAACGGTCACTGAATGAGTAGTCATTAACCTATCTGTATAGCAAACAGGGACATTCTAAGAAGATTAACGCTGATCAAAACCTATTTCAATGAAGGGCTCCATAAAATCAGTGAAATATGGCATGCCTTTTAGCTCACTGCAGTGATCCTACTTGTTGAACATTATAGGATTAGTGCCATAACCTGATGGCTGGAAGAGGACTGAGAAGTTTAGATTATCTTCCCTCCTGCATTCTAACAATTCATTAATATGGTACTTTTTAAAACCACCAATTGGGTAGGAACATCTCGATCCACCTGAAATGCTGTAATCTGTATCCGCAATACATTTGTTTCATTAATAAAGAAGTTATGAAAATTTAATAAAAAGAAACCAAGAGATTAAAAGAGATTAATCCCAGTTGGGACGGTGGATTGATTGGACCATATGGTGGACATGTGGGTGCAGGGGAAGGGATTTTGACTTTCCTTTGGGTGGGGAAAACCCGGGAGCTTTCAGATTTGGGTTTTCCCAGATGTGCCAATATGATATCACCAATAAAATGGAACTTTGAGGAACTGCAAGCCTTGGAGTCTTCATTGGTTGGGGGTGCTACTTGGAAGCCTGACATTCTTTAACCTTTGCATTTATCTCTTTGCTTAAAATTCATGAAACCTGTCCTATTATGGGGGAAAAAAATGACAACCATTCGTGTTTCTCCCCCACTAAACTAATGTGAACCATTAATCTTGCGTTGGATCAAGCTGTCAGATGAAGTAGGATGTCCATATTCTGTTTAAACCAATTTGGGCTTTGTTTTTAAGTACTGCCTTGGATTCTGAATCAACTTTTGTGCAGAACTGATCTAACACAAGCATCTTATCTGCTTGTCCCAGTTGTGGGACTGCTATGACCCCCACAGTTCTCTGTAACAAGGAATTTTTTTAAAAAATTACATTATAGGTAGCATCAGTCAGAATATATTTTCCTTTCAGAGTTTGAACCTAGGTTGTACCGTAACAATCTATGGTACATGGATGAATGATCGAAGTGCTTACTAAGTAGCAATATGGGTTAGACAAAATTTGCTTTGCTTAATTTTTCTTATGTTTCGAACAACTGCTACTCAAGTTTGATTCCAGTTGTCTGTCATTCATCTCTGTATCAGTGTTAGCCCTAAATGCATTGAGTAAATATATATTAGAGTAAATATTATTCACACAAAAAGATCAGTCACTGAACAAGGAAGGTCATTTTATATGATCACAGAACTCCTCAAAATTACATTAATAACCACAGTATAATATACATTACCACTATAGAAAGAAGAGGATATGGCAGAACCATTTATATACCTAGATTGTTGGTCAGTCTTAATCTGGAGTGTGGTGGTAGCAGAGATTGGCTAGGAAGCATTGGACTGGAACTGGCCTGCAAAAGAAAAATTGAAATATAACTGAGATACAAGAGCTAAACTGCAAAGCATTACCAATTCTAAAAGTAATTGTTGTATTAGTATAACAGCAATTCAATTTTGAAGAACTAAAAACAGTTTGAAAAGAAATATAGTTTTTTTTTTTAAAAAAGTTGAAATACCAATACGTTATGAAATATAACTGCCTCCATTTTTTTTTCTAAAAGGATGCATTAATACTTCCTTTTGGCATTCTTTTTAACTATTGCGTCAATATTGTGGTCTCCAAACCTACAAGGTATATGCCATTTTCTATTTCTCAAAATTGAAAAACCCTCTGGATTATTACATAAATTGTACTGTTTATCTGACATAGCTTGACAATTTTACTTTTTTTTACTTCCTCAGCCTCAACAATTTTGATTGTCATGCCCAAGTCCTTCAAGAGATATCAGAGGAAAAAAATTAAGAAGTTCAAAGCCATGATCTCTCTGCAGGAAGCTGCAGCAGAAATATACTCTAACAGCTCAACATTAAAAAACTTGAGTTCACCAGTCCGTAACCTTAGAGTTAAAGAATACAATCTCCCTACTTTATCAAAATGACTGATTTCTAAGTAACTTCTTTCAGAATAGCCTTGGGGGCATACTGTCTAATGCTTTGACAATGAACAAATGTATAAAAACTCCATCTTAAAACGGAGACGCAGATACCACCATACAATTTATATATGGGAAGTTCGTAACTCTTTGTGATTCTATTTCAAGTATAATTTCCCCAAAATAGTTGGCTGTCGGTTTTTTCAATCCTCTTTCCCATACATTTAGTGCATATGAAGTGAGGAGGAACTCAAATCTATGAATCCAAGTTATGAGTTAAGGCCCAAGAAAGCAATTTATTTTCAAAAGACAGTTAAAAAAATTATTTAGAAGCAGAAAAGGATGAAGGCATTTGTTTACTAACACAAATTGAAGTTGTAAATAATGTTGGTAATAATTAGGAATTAGGAAAATTATTATTTTCAGGGCATTAAAGAAGGAAACTAATGTAATATTGTATTTGGAATATTTCTTATTCATCAGAAAAATTCTTATGTAGCAGATGATGTAGAAAATGTCATATATTATTTCATGTTTTCTCCTGGTGTTTCTGTTTGTTTTTTATAGCAAGGATTTACATATACTTAAAAGTACTTTCAGCATTTTAGTTTTCATTTCATTCAATTACATAATCATCAACAAGGACAAAGCTTAACATATTAAACCAATATAAACTACGTAATATAAATGAATACATGGAATTAAAAAAAAAGTTAGGTATACTAATATGGTAACTAAAATTTAGCATTTATTTTGAATGATTAGCTTTTTTTTTCTTTTACCTAGGCTCTATGAAAGTGAATATGAATGCGCTCTGAACAGAAAATCAGATCTGAAGATAACCTCCAAAACCTGAAGTGAATTGTCGCCAGCAGTTAAATCTCCAAGGCTTATTTGGCCAGCTTTCATAATTTATTACTCAACATATCAAAGCAGGTTTGGACTGGAACCCCCTCTCCCCCTTTGGGCTTATTTCATCAGATTTCTCTGAATTAAAACTATTAATTGAAAGTATCCCAAAATCTTTTGATCTGCTTCTTTCCTGACCTGTGACAACTATTCCAACTAAGTGGTTTAATAATCTTGGGTAGTTTTTTTTTTTTAAACTTTTCTAACAAGGGCATAACACTTCAAAAAAAAAAAAAAAAAAACCTAAAGATTTAGCCATGTAGGAATTCAGCAACAATATTTTTTCTTTTTCTTTTTTCCTTTATATCAGCATATGGATAAATCCTTTCTCATTGACAACGAGCTATAGAGCAATAAATAAATAAATGTAATAAAAGGACAGGTAAATACAAGGTTTTAAAAAAAACCCTGCAAGAGAATGAGCTCTGAAGTCAGAATTGACAGATGGAGGGACTGTCTGTACTTAGCGCACTGCTGCTCATTGTCTGAGTTATTTCCAGAATTGGAGAGCCTGATTGTAAAAAAATAAATAAAGGGTAAAACTGATTCAAAGAAGGGGATGGTGGTGGAAGAAGCAGCAGCAGGGATATATCATGAAAGAATTAAGCTCTGCTTCTTTAATACCGATATCTCCCCTGCACTGATATAATAAAGCAAATCTATTGTTGAGAACTCTTTTATTTGCAAGCTAACTTTTAGATGCTAAGCTACAAACCAGAAGTACCCCCACTCCAAACCGCATGCTGCTTTGCAGCCTTAGGCAAAGTATATCCCAAAGAAGCTTTTTCAGGAGGCAACTGGACTTTGTTTTTTCTTTGAAGACGTTTCGCTTCTCATCCAAGAAGCTTCTTCAGTTCTGACTGGATGGTGGGGAATGGAAGGATTTAGATTCCTTGTAGGCAGCTGGTCATTTTCATCCTTTTAGAGGGTCATTGAAACACTTGGAGGTTTAGCTGTGTCCTAAGGGTCACCTGAGTAGTGTTCCTGGTTCCTTTAGTCAGATAAACCTCCAAGTGCTTCAACGACCCTCTAAAAGGATGAAAATGACCAGCTGTCTGCAAGGAATCTAAATCCTTCCATTCCCCACCATCCAGTCAGAGCTGAAGAAGCTTCTTGGATGAAAAGCAAAACGTCTTCAAAAGAAAAAAACCAACAAAGTCCAGTTTGCCTCCTGAAAAAACACCTTTGGGACAGCCATGATCTGGATGACTGAGAATCTCTACAGACTCTTAGGCAAAGTACTACTTTCTAATTTCGGCCCACATGCGTTGTCCCCACTGTAGGGGAAAGTGGGTTTTTTTAAGGATTATGTAAACAATTAAATCATATGAGCGCGATCAAAAAAGGAAATCCATGCTGCTATTATTAGATAAAAGAATGGTTATTAGAAGAAACATATAATTCTTTTATTGGGTACAGGTAGTCCTCGTTTAGTGACCAAAATTGGAACAGGCAACTTAGTCATTAAGCAAAGCAACTGCTGAAACATCATGATTTTACTTCCGCTTTCCTTTGCTTTATAGGCTCGCAAAGGTTGTAAATGCAAGGAATGGTTAGTTATTTTTTCATTACCATTGTAACTGCAAGCGGCCGCAGTGCAAGGCAGTTGTTGAATGAGGATTACCTATAGCGTTGAAAATATTAAAACTAGCTTCTTAAAATACGCAATAACAGTCCTATTGAATGCATGAAAAGCTGGCAGAGCTCTGCTTCATTTAATAGGATTCTTTTGCGCGCTCATGCTAAATGAATACATCGACAACATATTCTTTTAAAGCCTTCTCTTCACAATCCAAATGAAATGCATTAGATTCATTGGTGCACGCTGTAGCTTCTACTACATCGCTTACACTTACCTCCTCCTGCCATCAAGCACTATTAAGCAGTAAAGCTCTTAAAAAGTGCTTTGTTTAGTGCTACGCGCTAATTGGGGCAGTGGAAGTCAAAAACATATCTGGATTTCAAATGCTTGTTAGAAGTGATTTCGGGTTGCACACAATTCCAAGTTAATGAATGGTGAGGATTATTTAATTTTGTTTAGCCATTCCTGGGGCCCAACAGAAGCAAATCCAAACTGCATTAATTAGCTTGCTTCTTTGTCCACGATAAGCTCTAACTCTAGCCTAGTGTTTGCGGCTGCACCATTCACTTTCATGGAAGTATTCTATCAACACAGGAGTAGTTTTCATATGGAACGAATAGGCCTGATTATCCTTAATTTGCAGTTTATTTAAAGAATACTCCTGAAAATGTGATTTCTGTGAACATGCAACAGAGAAGGAGCAGACAACTGAGAAGAAAAATAGCAAAAAAAACCTCACCTCCGCTGCCTGTTCATGAGCAGAAGTGGCTTGCATGAACCCTGCACCCTTTACCGTCAGGGGTCAGGCTGTTTATTAAAGAATGTGCAATATCAGATAGGTATATAATGTAAACATATATAGAATGTTCAACAGTGAGATGTAACTTGAGACCAGTCTTCCAATGCTGTCTCTAAAAGTTGACTGACCTCTACTTTCCTATGTTTTAAGTGAACATGCCAGCATATAATAGGACCTATGGAACAATTACTGTGAAGCAATAATTTCTGAAATGCAGGCTGTGGGAAGAAATTGCTAAACACCTTTTCAACAACAAGAAAAGGTTGGCTAAGATAACTAACACCAATCAACTAATTCTTTTCACAACACTTTGCTTGCTTAACATAAAAACCACAGTTCTATCTTGGATAGTATAATACAAGGCCCGAGTGGAGTAGAATTATAAGTACAAAAAGTATTGTGTGTGTGTGTGTTTAAAGAGATAGAAAAGCCTACACATTTATGCCAAGTTTAAACAGAGCTGTTTTGCATTTGCTTTATAATCTATGGGAATTATGCAAATACTTCTTTTCGGTGAGCCTAATTTTCATGTTAAAAAAAAAAAGTGTACGCCACCCAAAAATAAAAGAGAATCCAGGTAAATTCAGGTTCCAACAAGCTAAGAACAATTTTGCTGATTTGTTCCTGATAATACTTCTACAGGGCTGTGACCTTTACAATTAGAAGAATAAAAATTTTCATACAGGGTTGCAAGTCAAATTAGGCTGGGAAAGTCAGCACTGTAATTTGTCCTTTCTGGAGTTTTGTGCCTTTGTGAATAAAGTTAATCCTTCAAATTACAGTTTTGTCACAGTGTGCAGCAGGCAATGATTAGCTCTAAGCAAGTCTGCAATCTCTTTTGTTTCGTACCGGAGTGGTTTTACATGCAACCCTCCCCTCAGGTAGAAAAATAGACCTTTACAATATTATCCAGGCAAAGTTGTACTTTGACCCTATGTACAGACTTATCACTTGCTATTATCTTATATCGCTTATTCTCCACAGTATAATGAGCAAAAGGCCAAGCCAAATGTTTCAAGGAAACATTTCACTGGCAAGTATGGTTTGAAAATTTTTCTAATGGGCTTTGAACATTTTACATTTACCTCCAGGAGAAAAACTATGCACTAATTCTACCAGAGAAAGCCATCAGAAACCCAGCCAAATTTGCCAGCTTGTTTTCTGAACTTGGAAGCAGTGGTTGCTATGAGAGCTTGTTTTCTCCTATGTAAATGGGACTCAAAGCAGTGCAGCTATAGTCACCACCTTGGACAATTTGTCAAGGCACACCTGGAGAGATTTCTCAAGAGCTCCATTTCCCCCCTTGGTGTAAAGGCAGGAAATGCCTACCATAGCTTCATCCAGCCCTCCCTCAGTTTGCACAATGCAAGTTGTCTTCTTGCAACAATTGACCTCAAATAGGTTTTTTTTTTTTTCCCGAAGGCTGTGGAAGGAACCAAGTACACCTGTTGCCACCACAGCACCACATTAATGCAATCAGCCAAGTGGTGAATAAGGTTTTTTTTTTTAACCTCTTTACTGTGACTTTATTAATTTTGCACATTATTGTATGCTTTCTGTCTTGGTAATGGAGTTGACTGTTAAAATGGGGGGGGGGGATATACTCCGAAGCTATTCTCAGCCTCCCTGAAATTGCTGAACTACCAATATCACATTCCTAACCACTGAAATGGGCTGGGGATGCTGGGAGCCATATTTGAAGATCTAATGTCTGGGCACATCTACATAAAATGAACTCATTTTCAAACCTGAACATTTAGAATCTTCTGCAGAGATGGCAGTAAGTCTATATAACCGTAATCTATTTACATTATGCCAAATAGTTCCACAGGCAATTAATTTACTGGGAGCTAATTAAGGATAATTTTATGTCTTATTCTAAATAGGTTGCAGAGAGGGCTGATTCAAACTTCAAGAAGCGTAACAGAACTTATAAAGGAAAAAAGGCTCATGAGACATAGGACTGCTACTTTTGGCAAAACAGTGGACCAAATATTATTAAATATTCTGCTATATTAGATTAGTAATTAAATTGTAGGACTTGGAAGACTACAAAAGAAATTCAGGTACAAATTATTCAAATATAGTTGAGGATCAATGTAGAAGAAACAGTTGCTGTTTTCCACAGTGCAACAACTATTTAAAGAGCAATATTTTAGATATTAGCTTTATTTTACAGCTACTTTTGTTTATGATCATTACATTTATGCTGTATTTCTTAAAATCAATCTGGCAGTAAGTAAGTACGTTGAGAAAATGCTCTTATTCCTAATGCTACCCAGTGGAACAATTACCTTTAGACGAGTTTGAGAATTTGAAATCCAACATCCTGTGATTCTACAATAATCTACAAGCTCTCTTATCGCAAGCCCACATATATAGCACGATCCTGACAATCTTTATCAACTATTCATGATATTCAGAGGCATAACATCATAGTGAGGAAGGCAAATGGCTGCTGCCAGGTGTGTGTGGGGGGGGGCAATGCAGAATGGCATGAGGGCTTGGGACGGCTATTGCTGGGCGGGAAAGACTTACCTCAGATACTTGCAGTCTACCCTGCTGGCTTCCTCATTGAATTTGCTTGTGAGAAGCCAGCAGGAAAGGGCGCAAATAGTGATCATGTGACACTACAACCATTGCAATTATGAGCCAGTTGCCAAGTGCCCAGATCACAGTCACATGACCACAGGGGTGCTGTGACAGTTGGAACTTCAAGGACCAATTTTAAGTACCATTCATTCAGCACGGATGTTAACTTCAAGTAGTCACTGAATTTGTAGTGGAATTTTTTTAAGTGAACTTTACCATAACAGAATCCAGCTTTTGTTTGACTTTTTGCATCCTCACTGATGTTCTTGCAACATTTGCAAATTGGTCAGCTGACGATATCATCGGATTCTTCTGGGTAGGAAAACCGGCAGACATGCTGAGAGTCTGTGGGCTTCTGGGGGACTTGGTTAGTTGTGATCCACTCAATTCCTTTACTGCCTCAATCCCCTGCTTGGCCACTGAAGAGGACAAAGTTAAAAAAAAAATGTTTGAACGATATTAATCTTTTCATAAGAGTACTGAATCCCAGCTATTGTTGGAATTAAGGATGTACGCAGTAAGGCTATAAAGCAGAAAATTATAAAATAGTCCTCTTTCTTTCTTTCTTTCTTTCTTTCTTTCTTTCTTTCTTTCTTTCTTTCTTTCTTTCTTTCTTTCTTTCTTTCTTTCCAGACTCAGGGCGGCTTACAATGCATTATAGCAATAGCCTGCATACTTTTATGTATATACCTGCTTATTAGGGCTTTCGCCCCCCCCCCCCAAAGCAGTGTTGTTCTATACAAAGTTGGCTTATTGCCCCCACAATCCGGGTCCTCAATTTACCTACCTAGAAAGGATGGAAGGTCAACTTTGAGCCTGGTGAGATTCGCACTTGCACTAATTGCAGGCAGCTGGCAGCTAAGTGCTAGCACTTAACAGCACTTTAGTCTGCTGCACCACCGAGGCTCACATCTTTCACTTAAATGTCAACAGATTAGGTATCTCTATGGAGGCAGACAAAGGACCTCAAAAGCTTTTTATTTAAACTTTCTTGCTATGAGTTCAAGTACCACCTCTCACAGGTAGTCCCCCACTTATGACTCCAACTGGAACCAAAACTTCCGATCCTAAGTAAGGTGGTTGTTAAGTGAATCACACTTGATTTTAGTACCTTTTTTGCCATAGTTGTTAAGTGAATCATTGCAGTTGTTAAGTGGATCACATATCATCGTTAAATGAATCCAGCTTGCTGCACTGACTTTGCTTGTTGGAAGCTGGCTGGGAAAGTTGCATATGGCAGTCACGTGTCTCTGGGACACTGTGACTGTCAAAAATACATGCAAATTTTGATTACGTAACCATGGGGATGGTACGATGGACATAAGTGCAAGGACTGGTCGTAACTCACTTTTTCCAGTGCTATTGTAACTTTGAACGGTCACTAAATGAATGGTTGTAAGTCAAGGACAACCTGCAGCAAGAGAAAGGCCACTTCAAACTTTCATAACTCAGGTTGGACTCGAATACACTCACACACACCCACAGATGCATAAACATATTAAATTACCTTTGTAATCATAAATGTATACAAGGATTGGCTGGTTTTGACCAAAGGCACAAAATGCCACCATATGTTCAAGCGGATGGAAAGCAACATCACGAAGGGGGGAAGTGAAAGAAAGATCAGAATACATAGCTACCTGATCACCTGCAAAAGGGGGGGAAAAAAACCTATGTGAGCGAATGCTTTATTCACAAATGTTAGATTTTTTTTTACAGTACAAGAAGTTTGGGGGTACCCAGGCCAACTAAATCTGAAAATTAAAGGATGCTTTCAAGTTAAGAATTATAAACAAATATCCTGCGGGGCAGGTATAATTTATCATTATCACTTTGGGATATAATACATAATGAATAAATATTTGTGAATAATAATTGAATTATTAATGAATAAATTATTATGGTTCATCGCACTGGGTTTGGTATTTTTGTCTGCCTATTGAATAGGTGCCTAGTTCTGGAGATCCCACTATTTTGATGTAAAGATGTATATCTTTATATACCATATTTTTCAGAGTATAAGACGCATCTACCTTTTTTGGTGGGGAAAAGAAAAGAAGAAAAAGAAATCTGCCTCTGCCTCTGAGCAACTTTGCCTTGTTGCAGCAAACAGCAAACAGCCTGCTTTACTTTCATTTTTGTTTTCAGCATAGCTTGATTAGCACAAGGGAAAAAAAATATATGCTCCAGCAATTTTCTTCCTTGCAGCAAGCAGCAGAGCCCTGCCCAAAACAGTTGAGAGTCGGGAGGCTGATCCAATCAACTTGTGCTAATTAGGCTGTGCTGAAGGTGAAAGGAGCTGTTTTTTCTTGCTGTTTGCTTGCAAGGAGATAACTGCTTTGAAGCAGAGGCCAAAGGGTGGGGGCCAGTGGGTGGGCGAGGCTACATTCGGTGTATAAGACACACCTAAATTTTCATTCCCTTTTAGGGGGGAAAAAGGTGCGTCTTATACTCCGAAAAATATGGTAATTTGATATTATATTGATGTCTATCTATTTAAAATATAGATAAAAAGCAATTGGGAAGCATCACTTAACGTATACAAACTCCCAAGAAAAAGGTTTTGAAGCTTTTAATTTTCAACCAGAGTTATTTAGAAGGTCCTTTAAAAACATGTTACCTGTAAACAAACATTTTATGTTTCTAACTTTTCAAAATAAAGTACGAAGGTACCTGTTTCTAAATTCCAAACGTATGCTACACCATCTTCACTCCCAGATAAGAGGAATGTTCCACATGGTGTTAAGGTGCTATGAATTTTTTCTCGATAGTTTGTAGCACCAATATATTTCTTAGTAGCTAAGCTAAAGAATAGAGAGAGAAAACATGAATATAGCTACTCTTTTAATTATTGCATGCCACTTCTGATTTCTGGAATGACCTACCCGTATGTTCACGTAGTCCTCAACTTACAACGATTCGTTTAGCAACTATTTGATGTTACAAAAGGACAGAAAAAAGTAATGGAATGATTGATTATGAGTCCTTGCAGAATCGGGAGGACATTAAAAGCAGGGGGGGGGGGGGAAAGAAGAATTGATTTCAAGGCTTGATTGGCAGAATATCCAGCAATTCTACTCTCTCTACTGCACTCCTAACTGTTATGGGGAAATTGCAAGATCTATTCTTCTGTTATTTTAAAATAATAAAATATCTGTATAATACCAGATGGTTTAGTGCTCTGGTTTCAAAATCATCTCAGTAATGTTGACTACAGAGATGTGTCTAATTGGATCTGGAAAGATATGCCTACCAGAACTTTTAAACTCTACATATAGACCTGGATAAAAGATCCAAGAACACTGGAGTTGTCTAATAAATTATTAAATGAGTGAGAAAATCTATTCACTATAGACCATGAAGTGCTATTAATTCTAACAGAACTTCTTTAAATTTCTTCAGATGTGAACTCGAGATGTTTTGTAAAGATGGGTTCCATATGCCACAAATTCTGGGTCTTTTATTATCTTATAGCTAGCCTCCCCCCTCCCAAATAAATTATTCTTCCTCAGAAGTGCTTTGCTATTATCTTTGTTTTCATTTATTCTGTATCTGAAAAAGCAATCAAAATCTTTAGTTACTTTCATCAACTGCCACATGGAGCTTTGTGGTTGCATAATTCTTAATAGTACTTTATGTGCAAAATATTTCATTTTACATTCTCCTTAAATTTTGATCTTGATTATCTGGGGGGGTTTTTGGGTTTTTTTTGGGGGGGGGGATCTTGCTTTCCAAGACATCTAGAGCAATTACAAATAGTAAAGGGGGCATTGGTGCCTTATGGCTGAATATGCCAAAAATGCAATGTTAACATTTTAGAGGAAAAATCAGCAGTAATGTATTTCTTATTTCAAGTTTAAATGTGAAAAATCTGCCTTTACATTGCTTGAAGCAGCTGTTGGCAATAAATAAAGAATTTTCTTTGGAAAACCTGTCTCTCATATTGTTGTACTTATCTAATCCAATGTTCCTATGATTCCATGTTCCTGTTTTTCTAATTTTGAATTCCAATCACTCATTATTAGTACTACAGATATCTTTAATGTTGTATTTAGAACCTCTTACAATTCAACTCACTTTATAAATTTGTAAAAACTCATCGCATCTTATTATTTGGCATCCAAATTTGTCCAAACATTTAGTCAGCTCTATGTATCTTTCTTGAAAATATGGAATTAATTTGCCATTCCCTCTTCCAGATTGTAATTTGATGTTCCTTCTCCTATGTAGGTTGGCTTTCTTCAGTTGTATTAAGCCCCATTACTATTCTTAGCACTCTCTCACCCTCCTCTTTCACTGGTAGGGATGGTACCTTTCAGTTCACATCCTTGCTAGCATCACGCTCAAATTCAATGAAGCTACTGAACTGTCTCATTATGTCACAAGTGGGGGTGGGAAGGGAAGGACAATTTAGAATGGCTCATTTAATTGGATACTTTATGCCTTCAAGAGCGTTAAGACCAAGATATGTTAAGATATCTAGAAGAAATGAGATGCCAATTTTTAGAAATGCCTGAAACTGTCCTGTAGCATTGTTTAAATAGTATAAAACAGAAAACTTTGAAATACTTACATTCGAAGATCCATAATTCTTACAGTACTATCCTTGGTGTGGATAAGTAAACGCCTTCCATTTGGATGTACCTCCAAATAATTTATTGCTGTTCCTTTAATGTCACCATCATTTATTTCCTGCCAAAACAACCCCAATACAAAACACAGAACTATTGAGAGCATGTTTACAATATAATAACAATACAAATAAAAACAACAATATCTGCCTATCCCAAGTCCTTGGGAAGGACTCGGTAGGTGGATAAAAATGTCTAATAAAGTCTAAACACTGATGGTGTTATTTGAGTATTGAAACATCTGCAATAAAATAACCAAGCTCAGAGATCACCAAGGGCCTCGTAGTTCAACCTTGAGTTACAAATATTTTCTTCTATTGATATAAGTCTGAACATGTGGCTGACTGTACAACCCACCATAATATAATAATATATGTTGCCCAATTCTCAGTAACTCTATAGAATAGTGATATTATATATATATAAAAGACAACAGAGGATCAATCTTCTTAGGTTAGAGCAAGTGGCCAAGGAATCCATTGTCTTATCCGAAGCATTTGAAACATCCATAAGCAAGAGATGAATGAAAAAATTCTCTCCTGCTACTGTTTGAGAGATTTGCATTTAAAGTTACACAACTTCTGATCCAGTGTGATTACAATTAGGCATTAATAACCTTTACCTCTCATTATCTCCTATTAATTGTTAAACTGTTGCTACTGAAGTTTTAAAAAATGCACCCTCATTCCTATTTTAGTATCTGTAAACTGCCTAGAATTCATAAGCTTAGAGGTAATAGATATCACTGGATAAATTAGACCCTGGGACAATTATTGATTGATAGCACTTAAAGGCAATTAATAAATGGTCATTACTATCTTGCAGTGAATACCACACACATACTTTGTGCAAAGAAATACACACATTGCTTGTAATTTCAGACCAGTCAAGTTACCAACATGGTTATTGTCTAATGAGGAGAGGAAAGGAGATCTGTGTAAATTGTTTTGAATTGCTGGATGGAATACAGCTTGTGTTGTAATAAATATTTCAAACACCTTAGCAAAATGAATGAAAGTCAAAATGAATGCAGTTAAGTACTTAAGTATCAGTGATTACAAATGGATTTAAGGTTCTATCACTATCACTGTCACTGTCATATTGTTCTTCTGTAAATAGGCAGTGTTATAATATGGGAGCTAGTTTTGTCTAATGGCTAAGATGTTGGGGTATGAGCAAGGAAACCTGATTTGTAATCCAGCTGTAGACACAGAAGCTGGCCAGATAACTGAGCCAGTCACTTTCTCCCAGCTCTAGGAAGACCATGGCAAAGCATTTCTGAAAACTTTGCCAAGAAAATGACATATTGTCCATGTAGTATCAGGAATAATTATTATTATCATCATCATCATATGTACATTTTATGTACTCCGAGAGCATATGCACCAAGACACATTCCTTGTGTGTCCAATCACACTTGGCCAATAAAAAATTCTATTCTATTCTATTCTTCTATTCTATTCTATTCTATTCTATTCTATTCTATTCTATTCTTATTCTTATTCTTATTCTTATTCTTATTCTTATTCTTATTCTATTCTATTCTATTCTAGCCGGGGCAGAAAATTAAGCAGCAAGTAACTACTGTTACCTAAACTGATTGTTTCTATTTTTACTGTAGTTTTCTAAAATAATTCAAGTTTTTTTTTAAAAAAAGAAAGAATTTGTTATTCCCAAATCATCATGCTTTACTCCCTTTTTATTAATGCTCAAATGCAAATTCAATTATCAACTGAATACTAATAACATTAAGAAAGCATGGAGCAGAGATTATTGGACATGTATATGAGATAAAAATATGTACAGTAAAAGCTTCTAGAAGATTTGTATGTATCAGAGTATTAATGATATTAACTTATTCAGAAATATTTTATTAAATATCATACAGCAAATCATGTTGAATATAGTCAGAAATCTAATTGTGAAACTTTAAAATATACATTCCACAACCTTATCAAATATGCACAAGATTTTAAAACTTGCTGATTTTTTCTGTATACCTTATCAATGCCCCAGTGCTGAATTGGTGACTGAGAATTTTCTTTAACAAAAGTATTCCAGATAATTATTAACCCCGTGCCATCTCCAGAAAACATGTGAAATCCTAGAAAACAATAGTTTGTTTGCTTAATATAATAAAAGAATTCTGACATTCAAATTATTCATATACAGTAATTATACTGCATAATAGTTTATGCAAAGTGTATCTAGTAAAGTATCTTTCATCATCACCTACTTTTCCATTTTGCTAATTTGTTTCAGAAACTATGGCCCCCAAACTGTATTTAAATGTTACACAACCGCACCCTAAAATAGAATTATTACCAATAGCAGGGAAGGCATTATTCTTTTGTCAATGAAGCTTCAGGTTACATGAAAACATTTTATCTGCTGAAAATCACAATGCCAGCTCCCATTCAACTTATAATACATTTATTAAATATATTTAAAAGTCTTAAGATCTTTTTCCCACATACAGTACTACCAAATATGTGGGTTTTCTCTTATCAGATCTCATGCATAACTTGTGTTGTGCACTAATTCTTCAACTTAGATACTCTATCCTATTACCCCAACATCTCATCCCAAAAAATCTGTTGTCCAGCTACATGATTTTTTTCTTTGATGGGAGGGGGTACACAATTTAACCCTGTAAATTCAGCAGGTTTTTGCAAATGAAATAAACACCTAGTGGATTCAAGGTGGATATTATAATCTTTCCTCTATGTTTGATCATATTTCATTAGATTTTCATATAAAAATTCTTTTTATTATATTAGTTTTTTTCCCCCACTAGAAGTCCCCAGGTATTTCTGAATTCAGAATCCCCAGGTATTTCTGAATTACTGACTCTCAGCCTCCTTAAAAGAATAGCAATAATATGTAATAAAATCCAGAGTAATTACAAAGAGATAGGTACTTTATGCAGCATTTTTAGCGTCAAACGTCTGCAACTTACCTTCAGCATTAAAACACAAAGTATTGATAAAACTTTTGTGACCATCAAATTCTTGTAAAAGCTGCCCATGAATTTCCTTTACTTTTGCATTCCAGACTCTAATCACAGAATCGTAACATCCAGTTACAACGAGGTACTCAGCTACTGGGTGGGATTTTGCAGTGTAGACAAATGAAGGATGTGGGAAAACTTTGGTGGCTGATGTAGCCTGGGCTTCAATTTTCCACATTCTAAACAGAAACAACATTTAGAAAGTTGGTCTCTTTTTTACTAGATAATTCAATAAACCAGTGGTTCCCAACCTTTTCTTCACCAGACCCCCTTTAAATACCTTTTGTGGCCATGAACGATGGCCAAAGACCCCCAAGACTTAATTCAAGATTTAAATCATAACATTTCTTCAAGTCTTTGTGGCCTCGTGACATCATGCCCCCCCCCGGGGGTTCATGGACCACAGGTTGAGAACCACTGCAATACACCATTTCAGTACCAAACTGTGTATTAATATATTTTAAAAAATGAACTGTACAAATTTTGAGTCTACTTACAAATATATGACCTGGATAACTTCTGGCTAACAAAAAAGAGTTTACTCATTAGCCAAATCTCTATAATGACTCATCCTTCAATTAATTATTCTATAAAATCAAAAACCACCTGATTCCTCTCAATGTTTTTGACTTAAAAGTTAAATAATTTAATCACATCAGCTTGTTTAGTACAAACTAATGTTTTGAAGCAACAGATTATTTGCATTATTTTTTAAAAGAAACTGGTTCTGTGGGGAAAAAATACCAAATGGAATAATGGAATGTACCTTTTATTAATGGGGCCAGAGATATAAAGCAAGAGATTGAATACGAAATATAAAAAACAAATAAAACCTACAAGGAATAGCTATTTATTTATTATTTAGTTTGTTCAATCTCTATAACTCCCCAGCTCTAAGATTATATGTGGACACATAACTGTGTAAGAGATGCGGGGGTGGGGGTGGGGGGGAACAACAAAAGCAAGAATCCTGGTCTTTAATGTAAGTTTGTTCTGGGTTCAGCAGCAAAGGGTGGCATTGAAATTTCTATATCTATTCTTTTGACAAAGTGTGCTTTGAGTTCTGTTCAAAGCAGGGCTTTATAAAATCTGTTGAAAAAGAATTTACATTTGAAACATTCTGCATATTATGATTATTCATTTACTTGGTATGAATGTAACTGTTTGTCCTCGTCTTGTCTCTTTGGGAGAGTGCCTTTTGCAAGCATGTACAGTATATTTACAGAATGTATCTGCCCTCAGTGTGGAAGGGATTTGGCCTTTTTAGTCACACTAGATGCTGTTTTAGGACCTCTTTCCAGAGCACGATACCATAGCCTCTTGAGACTGAAGGATGCCAATGAGACAGTATTATTTATAAGAGGATGGATACATGTAATCATACTCAGGTCTGAAGCAGAGGTGGGATTCAGCCGGTCCTGTCCAGTTTGGGCGAACCGGTAGTGGCAACTGCGGGAGGCTCCACCCACCTGCCCAGACATAATGTGCGAGCACTGCTCATGCACGGAAGGCTGTGTGCATGCGCAGAAGAGGCACGCTCACATTTGCGAACCAATAGGGAAGGTAAGTGAATCCCACTTCTGATCTGAAGCACATACTATTTACTGGGGACTGGCTTCACTAGACTTGGCAACCCATGATTGATAAGCTGGTATTTTGTTGTTGTTTTAAAAAAAAAATTCCCCATCTCCTCTTCTGATGGGTATATGATTATCTTAAATTTGGGGCAATTTTCATTTCAGGTATACTGCATACCTCAATTTTAACAGGAGAAAGTTGGTTATACTGACCTTGCAGTGCCATCTGAGGAAGCAGTAAGAAGATGCCGATTATCCTTTGACCAACAAAGATCATACACAATGTTCAGATGTCCATAGAACTCCCTTAGGTAGCACCCTGAAGGAATCTCATACACTAATACAGAGCACAATAGAATCTTTTAAGGATCTAAAAATACACGCCATTAAAGCAAATACATGAAGCAATTAAACAACATTTGAATTTGAAGAGGATTCTTTACATAAAGCATTATGATTGTTAGATAGCATGGTCACGAAGACTTTATTTTTGTCAATATTAAACCAATAATCAGAAGTTAGAGTGGCTAACACGTTTCTTACTTTTAGGAAGGCAGGAAAAATTATTCTTTTTCATCATATATTTGAGGGTTAAAATATTTTGCGGGTGATTTCTGTGTAGTTTAATGTGATGTTATGATTCTTAATGCCAAATACTGAGCTACTTTAATTGACATTGATTTATTATGTTTTAAAACATGAAAGCCATGCATACTCTGCATAGGATGGGGTATAAATGTTATAATAATTATATGGATAAAAGGAAATAAAATTGATATTTGTAATAATAATCACAACAAAGTAATCTATTTTCCTAAAGAAATTCCAGAGTTTCTGTGTTCATTCAGCTCTACTGGCACCTAAGTTTAAGTAAACACTCAGGTATCTGTTTACTACCATCTAGTGGCTGGAAAGTGAAATAGCGAGTATTTAAAGTACAGTTTTCAATACACAACATCATAAAACCAATCTAGATGAATAAAAAAAAAAACAGTATTTCACTTTTCTGTTGTTTATAGCTATATACTGCTTATTGTTCACCATTTATTTCCTTTCTATACAGCATCCATGCTTTCTTTTATATTACTTTCCATATTTAAATCATCTCACAATCCGTGGCAGGTGAGGTTCACACAACATGCAAATTCACAATGCAGGTAGTTTAAATTGTGGTACCAAATCCAACCATCGTTGTGACTCTTTGTTTAAAGTTTACCAGGATGTATCAATTTAACCAACTGTGACTTACACACATACAAAAAAGCCATAATTAAGAAAACCATGGCTTATTGAAAAAACGCATAATTAGTTGTGAGTATTTTCATTTGAATATAGCATTATGTTTCTGGAAGGGATGAGGACTTACTAATTTACTAACATCTTGCTACTTTAACTTCATTGCAGTCATTAACTAGCACAAGAAAAACTATTATTCAAATATCCAATAAATAAAACTAAACTGACGATGTCAGGATAGTTAAGAAAAATACATACAGACAAAAAAAAAAAAAAAAAATAGAATATCACTTGCCATATTCTCACTATTCCAGATTCCATTTGTAGTGAAGCTTTGGAGATCCAGTGAGGAACTTGGAAAATTGCTCTTGAAAATTTAGACTGAACAAGTTCCAATGGTATAAGATTGGGGAACTTATAACAAATTTGAGCCATTAGGTTAATTATAAATCTATTAATCTGATGTTCTAAATAATTTAATTTATTTAAATTATTGAACTTCATTCAGAAGTTACATGAGACTAATTTTGATAGATTGTAATATTAAGATTACGTGATTTTGAATTACAAATAGTGAATACTGAAACATAGGGCATGTTTAGGACATAGGGGAAAGGAAAGTGGAAGGATTTACATATCACTTGAATTACTCTGAGAGAACACCACTAAAATAAAAAATAAAATAAATCTGTCATGCGAGGAGAAAAGGTTAAAAAGTACCCTTTAGCATTTGGTTATACTTTAAATTTGAATAATCAATCCACTTTCAAGGATTAAAAGAAGAAAAATTTCTTCCCCTCCAAACAGTTCACCATATACATAGATGGTGAGTTAAAATAAAAATAGGTCTTGAAATTCTCACTTACAAATAACGGGATAACCATCTCTTCCTGCGCAACCTGCTGCTAATGTCCGTCCATCTTCAGAGAAACGAATACAGAAACATCCCATATCTCCTGCTTTCAAGGAAAAAAGGTACTTGTTTGGCAATCGACACACCTGCGGATCCAAAGCGAACCGTTATTTGTAAGCTTGTTTAAATACAATATTATTTTCAGTGTGTGCATGTGTGTGTAAATTTTATATATATTATATATATGTACTTTTTACACACACACCCGCAAAAACCTGAGAAAACACACACAACATATATATATATATATGTGTGTGTGTGTGTGTGTGTGTGTGTATGTATATATATGTATGTATGTATATTATGTATATATATGTGTGTATATATATATATATATATATATATATATATATATATATATATATATATATATATATATATATATATATATATATATATATATATATATATATACACACACACACACACACACACATATATATATATATTACAAACTATTCTAAAATATGAGTTCCAGGTATATTTGTGAAGAAAGAAACAGACATTCTGCAAACTCCGGAACTGAAATACTTAAAATTTTATTCTACTAAGCTTTCATCAGCCATAGGAAGGGCCTATTACACGCGCAATGGCCAAATTGATTAATGGCATATAAAGGCAGAGATTTCTGTAATGGTAGTTTAATACTCTGATGATGTCAGCAGATGTTTCTTTCTATACATATACATATACATATACATATACATATACATATACATACACACACACATATATGAAAAATTTCATAGCTTCATATAACAAATTGGTTATGACATAGACTTCTGAGGAACAGAGGTATACCATTGTGATTTTTATGCCTAAACTAGGGTCATATAAGGGGAAGATGAAAAAGTGAATGAAAAACTGCAGGCAGTGAAATTAGATATATTTAAAAAATCAAGAACATATCTCACATTTGGCACTTAATCTCTAAAGCAGTGCTTCTCTCCCGCTTCCCTCCGTGCTAATGCGTGTTTCTTATGAGGAACCAAATTATGTATCAAATTATGAGGAACCAAATTATTTTATACAAGACATTTATATTTCAAAGAAAAGGCAATTGGGTCATCTCAACTTAGAATATGTTTTTGAATGGGATCCAATCTCATTTATTTTTACTTATACTGCTTTTCTCTATATATGTTACTTCCTGCAAATTGCACCCATATCTGAAGAACATTAGAGTTTGGGAAACAATAGGTTGTTTTGTTTTTTTCCAGAAAAACGGTCAGCCATTTATCAGCACACCAACTTTGGCCCTGAAGAAATGCATTTTTAAATTTGGGATCACTGACACTTCCGTATGACTCTTGCAATAATTACATTTTACAATAGCACTTCATCATTTGTTTTCTCTATACCAAAAGGAGGAAAAAGTACATAGGCTTAAAGCTTTCCCTTCATTTTCCAAGCAGAATTCTAGGGATGAAACAGCACTTCAGCAGGCTCAAAGAAACAAAAAGATTAAGACTACTCAAACTATCACTAGTGTTTTAAGTAGCAGTCTATTTTCTTAAATTTACTAGATTAACTTTCTCTACTATTCATATTTTAATAATAATACAGGTGTTGTATTTTTCTGCAAAATATCTGCAATTCACCTAATCATAAACAGCACTATTTCTCAAATAAAAGCTGGAAAAGAAACCTCAAGCCTACTTCTCTCAAGTTCACTAAAGTAAGACTTTAATAATAGTTTGTTTGTTTGTTTTAAGGCTAATATCAAAATGTGTAACAATTATCTGAAAATGTTTTTACCTGTCCAGGAAGTTTTGACCACTTAAATGGTTCTTCCTTTTTCACCTGAGTTCCAGAATTCAATATTGTTTTGGATATATCATTTTGTAGATCCAAGAATGATGTGCTGTGACATTCTTGCTGAATAGCCATCATGGATCGCAAAGAAGGGTTTACCTAGAAAAAATATATGAAAACAATTATAATATATGTTTTAATTTAAAACAATGCATGTAGTAATATAAAACAAAAAATATAAAATTTCTGTACATGAAAAGTATGAAGAAAATAAAATGAACCATTTAAAGCAAGGGAGTGCACATCAGAATATTCATATGAAAACCAACTTCATTTAAGTATATCAAACAGCAAATACATCCAGGGTTAACACATGCATATATGACTTGATTTCTCCATCCTTAAAATATCATACTAAGCATGTGATTATGTTCATTTGCAAATGCCTTTCATCAGATTACTATTCATTTCCCATCAGTGCTACAGATTTTATGACTGTTCATTAACACCTACATGATGTCACGAAGCCACTAACTGAACCAACTTATACTGCTAGCATGACATGTCAAAAACATAAATTCTGTAGCCAGCAAGCAGTTGTGTCAACACACATGTTCATGTATTAAGGTTGGATTCTGCTACTAATCCAACAGAAACTGTTTCTATGGAAGCATAAGGCATCTTTCTAAGCAGAAATAAAGAGTGTAAGTATGAATACCCAATGAGTCAAATCACTAAGGATCATCTCTTTGAATCTATAAGATAAAGAAGCTTTCTAAACCTATACCCTTCAAATCACTAGCTATATTCAGTTTATCAAAACAGGACAGCAATAAAATTACTGTTAATCAATTTCACTAAAGCAAAACCTGATGAATACATCTTAGCTTTAGCAGTCTTCTATAAAAAAAAGAAGAAAATGTCCTATATAGTCTACCATTTTTGCCAAAGTATAGCTACTTCACTATTCGGCAGCATATTCCTTAATTTATTTATAGCATAAAACAGAACTATATTAGATTACTGGAAGGGGATAATTAAAGATGAGACGTTTCAGAATTTAACACAAGCTGAAATATTTTTCTCTCGGCAGCTAATAATAAAAAGGCCAAGAAGAAGACATTATTTTGTCATGGTCACAAGATAGATTTTAAAGACATTCAAGTTAACATACGTGATCGGGAAGTTTAATGCCTTTTACAGTCACATACAATGTTGAAGGGTAATTGTTTCTGGGACACTTTGCCCACCAGTCATAAATTTCCACCATGTGAAGTTGTGACCTGGTCCTTGGAGGAGGAGAATACAACTGAAGACGTACTTTTCCACCAACATTCAAAACTCCATTTGCACCAACAAGCTGAAAATGACCAAATAATTAAGATGGAGAAAAAACACAGACATTACATTGAAGAATTTGATTGATGAAAGGACAAATAACAGCACTCTAAAACCATGAACAATTGTGGTGTTGCAGCTAAGATACTGGACTAACACTGGGGAGAGAGACCTAAAATCCACCCACCCTAAACAGTCTGTAGAGATGCTCAGTGATCCAGGTCATGGTTGTCCCAAAGGTACTTTTTCAGGAGGCAACTGGACTTTCTTGTTTTTACTTTGAAGATGTTTCACTTCTCATCCAAGAAGCTTCTTCAGCTCTGACTGGATGGTGGGGAATGGAAGGATTTATACTCCTTGCAGACAGCTGGTCATTTGCATTCTTTTTTGAATGCAACCCACCACGACAGTGGTGGGTTGCTACCGGTTCACCCCGGATCGTGCGAACTGGTAGATGAGATTTGCAACCCACTACTGAACCATGACCTGGATAACTGAGAATCTCCACAGACATTCAGGTATCAATGCTTAAAATTAGACATTAAGAACCAACTAGTTGATTCTGAACCAGATCTAATTGTTCCTACCAGAATCAATGGAATGCCAATGTCTCCTATCCTTTTGCTACAGCCTGATAAATGTATCCTGCCAGACTATGCCAAAGTTATTTCTACCATACAGTTCTTAAATTTTATTCAGAAGGGATATAAGGAGTCAAGCTCATACTATAATTTCTAGACTATAAAGTAAAGGTAAAGGTTCCCCTCGCACATATGTGCTAGTCGTTTCTGACTCTAGGGGGCGGTGCTCATCTGTTTCAAGGCCGAAGAGCCAGCACTGTCCCGAAGACGTCTCCGTGGTCATGTGGCCGGCATGACTGTACGCCAAAGGTGCACGGAATGCTATTACCTTCTCACCAAAGGTGATCCCTATTTTTCTACTTGCATTTTTTACGTGCTTTCAAACTGCTAGGTTGGCAGAAGCTTGGACAAGTAATGGGAGCTCACCCCGTTACACGGCACTAGGGATTCGAACTGCTGAACTGCCGACCTTTCGATCGACAAGCTCAGCATCTCAGCCACTGAGCCACCATGTCCAAACTATAGGTTTAGCTATAATAGCTGAGTCAAAAGAAAAACATTTTGCAAAAACTATCATCTAATGAAAATTTATTCTCTCTATTTCAGCAACTAAAAATGGCAGCTGTGAAAAGGCAACTAGGCCCAACTCCCAATGAATCTGGGCAGATCAAGAAGAAATTACAACAGCCATCAATAAAAAATGAAAGATGGTAAGCGCGACAGATGGATTAAGTGAGGGGGTCTCACTCTTTTTCACCCAGCACCTAGATGAAGAGTCACGTTTTTGATGCTCTTTTGATCAATTGGGGGCACAGTTGCCCTCCACAGCTGCAGTATGATCCCAGGGAAGGCTTGTTTGATTTAAAGAATGGAAGAGATGCACAACTACATGCACAACTCCACACACTCAAGTCAAAATCTATTACACAACACACAGAGATAAAATGATGAGTGCAAAAATATTGCTATCACATTAATTGGGGCTCACAGTGATGTCAAACAGCCAAGAGATAGTTGACAATGTTTTCTAATTAGTCTGTTTTGTCATTTGTGTTGCTGTCATCATTACTGACTCAGAAACAAGCTGGTTTTGTGTTTCGTTAAATGGTACCAGAATAAATTCAGGAAAGCAAGCATAAATAGCCACCACATATTTAATCAGAAATCCAAACAGAAATAATTGTGAAGAGCCTCCATCCAACTTTTCAATAATGGGGGTGGATGGATATATGATCTGCTATATTTTGCAAATCGAAATTTTTTTGAATGTAAACTAGTTGAAATATACCTTGACTAATTTTCTGACTATATACAAAGTCTACTCTTGGACTATACACAAAGCAGTTTTTGTGTTTATCTTTGCTCAGACTTGTTTAATGCTTTAGTACAATGTTTCCATTAAAATAAAAATTAAAAACCTTTAGAAATGCCCAACAGATTTTCCGAAAGCCGCTTTCCTGAGCTTGAATATCAAAGTTGGCCTTTGCATCATTCATGCTCAAAAAATCAAGGATCTAGAAGTAGAAAACACATTTTATTCAGTTTACATTTCTGTAATTACAGTCATAGAAAATATCAGTTAATTTTGCTGGATTTTTCTTAAATCGTTTGTACATATTAGTTTCCTATGATAAAGACCTGTTGTGGCAAATACAGTAAACAACTGAGATATATATATACAGAACAGCAATCTAAAGCCTTGCTGTATTTGATGAATTTCAGATCTCACTCAGGATGCCATAAAAACAGTGGATGTGAGCTTCATCACAAGAAAATGCTTTTAAAGGTGTAGTATACAAACTAGACGTAGGTTGTTGTTATGGATCGAAGAAACTTCCCAGATGACTCTCCTTTACTTTTGCTTTGATTCTAAACTTGTCTCTTTCCCTAGCAACCAAGTATTCAGTTAAGCAGTAAAACAGATAATTGGGTTATTAGGAGACCTGAAAATAAAATATTGTACTCTCTGAAGTTGCAAAAATGGCCTACGTGCATCTTTAAATTTCAGAAACTGTCCGACGAAAATGTTTTTATGCAATTAAGACTATCTGGTCTGCTTCCACCACTAAAAGTGCATTGTTCCTAAACAATCCAGTTTTGAAATTGTGCATTTTACCCGTAAGAGGAAAGATACAGAAAGTATTTGCCAGAAGGAACAAAAGATAAAATGATAAATGAGTCATTTCTTACCTCAAAAAACAGAATTACTTTGGGGCTCCCTTCAGCATCTTGGAGAAAATAGTTAAAACGTTCATTGAATATTATTTGCTCCTCCCATTCTGGTAGTGTTGATTTAAACTGTCTGAAATCGTAAGGCTGGGTCATAATAGGAAGAATATGCCCCACTTTCTCTTGTTCATAGAAGGATGAAACTTGTCGATTGCTATATAAAAACAATACATGTAACTGAGTTATGTCTTGTTTCTATTATAATTGTCTACGGAGTAAGTAACTTTAATTCAATAGAAAAAGTGTTCAACATCCAACTAACAACTGGCTTAAATGGCATGAGATTTGTTTGTCTTTGGGTTGTTCTTAGATTCTTCCTTTGGCTTGGTTCAGATACTGGGCTAAACCAAAAACAAACAAAAAACATTGAAGGTTAGCCTTATGAGCAAATCAGAATATAGTGAACTTTATTCAGATTATTCTAAGCAAAGTCCAAACCACAATGAAATACAAAAAAGTGAATTAATGTGAGTTTAGTGCAAGTCAAAGGTTACAGAACACCACAGATGGATAACCTTAAGAGGAAAAAAATTAGAAGCTTGAATATCTTCATTTTCTATCACTTAAAACCTATTCTTACAAATGGTTAAAATATTGTAGGCATACTGCAATGGAAAGTGCTTCATATGATATCTGTGGCAGGTTTTGTTTGCAGGCTAAAATTGTCAAGTTCAATGAAATCTGTTCTCTGTAGAGCACGGGTGTCAAACTTGCTGCGTCACGTTGCCATCACATGACATATCGCGATGTTTTTCCCCTTTACGGAGCTGGGGTGGGGGTGACCTGCGTGTGACGCATCCGCGCCAGTTTGACACCCCTGCTGTGGAGTGTGCATAAGGTAGTAGCAAATATTAGAGATTAGAGAATAAGTAATTTCTTTATTTTCCTCTTTCTAAATACTGCAGATTAGATATAATTTTGACTCCAGCCATGATACATTCTTGACCATATCATCAAAACTCTTAATATGATCTTTCTCAAATCCCAAGAGTATTATCCTGGAGAGAATCTGTGCATATTTTACAGGCTGTCTGTTTTGCCCCAGCTACGGACCCCAAAGAACGCAGCACCCACAAAGTCTGTACAAAACTTAATTTACTAAAATAACTCAGTCTTTTTCAAACAAAGGCTGTTAATAAACTTTCTTAACAGCCTACAAGAAAGCAAAGATAAAGTAATCACAATCTTACTATGGTTGGCAGAAAGCCCAGAAGCAATTTTGCAGAGAATCCAGACGCGAAGGAGAGTGAACTAAATTTGTTCCCTACAAATTGCTTCAGTCGGTGTTCCTCCTTAAATAGGCTAAGGGAGTGGCCAATTAGCCCCAAGCCTTACTCTTGAGGAGAGTGCCTCCTGAGGAGCCACTCCTGTCTTTTGGCAGCTCTGCGTGCCCGTGCATAGAGAAGAGGCTCCTCCTCTTCGTCCTCTTCACTTAAAGGAGCTTCTGAAGGCCCTGGCTGAGTCCCTGCCTCTGGCACCACATCTTCAGCCTCCTCATTGTCTGACTCGAGTGCCAGCTGCACAGGCTGCTGGCACAGCACCACACCAGCCTCCTCGTTGTCAGAATCAGCTACAATCTGCACAGGCCGCTGATGGGCCACAACACTGTCTTATTTGAAATGAACGTTCATTACATCTATAGTTATCTGACCACCCAACAAACTTACAAACAGTATTTGCATTACATTCAATTGGCAATGAGAATTATTTGAAATTACAAAAGAATGATAAATTTTTAAATGTCTCAATTTGCAATCCAAAATCCAAATACTGACTCCATCTAAAACTGCTTAAGCATAGGAACCTCAATTCTGTTCAGCAAATGAGAATTACTGTGGTGCAGAAATAATTAAGGAATATTAATTAATTAAAAAATGGGCCTGGTAGCTCAGCAGACTAAAAGCATTGTGATTAACACCAGCTGTCTGCAATTACTGTAAGTTCGGATCTCACCAGGCTCAAGGTTGACTCAGCCTTCCATCCTTTCTAAGGTAGGTTAAATGAGGACCCACTTTGTGGGGGCAATAAGCTGACTTTGTATAAATATACAAAAGTATGAAGGCTATTGCTTAACGCATTGTAAGCTGCCCTGAGTCTCCGGAGAAGGGCGGCATATAAATCAAATATATATATGTATATGTATATGTATATGTATATGTATATGTATATTTATATGTATATGTATGTATAAGCTAGAGTTTTATTTGACACATTTTCGTTTAAACACATTGAATGACCCTCATTTAATGGGTTATATACATCTATGTGGATCTAGAAAAACCAAAAATTTATCTGAGCTTTTCACGGACAAATTAATTAACATCAAGAATAAAAAAAAATCTACAGTAAGTCAGTAAAATCACCTATTCTCTTTCTTCACATATAAACCAGTTTTCTCATCAATCACATGAACCTTAACCATTGGATGGGATACCATAAAATCAGTTTTAAGTCGATCAGTTCGATGGATGTAAACCCCTAAAACAAGGTTATCATCAAAACCAGGTTTTGATTCCACTGAAAGATTCCCAGAAGTCATATGTAAGGTACTTTCTGTCATGTTTTCAGTATCTTCTTCTAGAGCTAGGAGAAAGAAAAAATAGGCTTTAGTAAAAATTGAGAACTACTGTTAAGTTTATTGCTGCAATTACCAGTAAACCTACAATTTAAAAATTTGTCTTAAATGAATTTTCAGTCAACTCATTTATTATGAGTCAGATCATGATTTCCATGCATAACAGCTGTCCTGAATGATTCAACAGCACAAACACTTTAACATGGAAAGTACTTCTGCCTGGAGCTGTCAGAAATCTTAGTGACTTCATAAAGATACCAGGAGAGGCAGGAATAAAACTGGCAGCCCCAACTAGAGATGGCTAGGTGCTTTTAGGTTTAAGTCTCTCAAGGCTTAAAATATTTCCCCCCAAAAGAGACTGAAAATTTGGGTGCGTCTTATACTCTGAATGTAGCTTTTTCAAAGCTTTTTTTCAGCCCTAACGAGGCGCTAGCCAAGTGAAGTGATCTCCCTTTGCTTTGCCTGTTTTTCTCATTGCTGCTTCCTCTCAGCTGTGCCTTAGAAGCTGTTTTTTTTATCCCCAAGCAGGGGATAAAAAACCAGCAAACTAATGTGCTGAAGCTAACCAGACTAAGGATGCTAGCCAGATGAATACCTGGTAGGCAGATTCCCCCCCCCCTATTTTCCTCCCCAAAAACTAAGCTGCATCTTATACTCCGGTGCATCTTATACTCTGAAAAATATGGTAATTTCATCTCTTAAAACCCTACAGTAATGTGTTAAGTAAAGTTCTTTGCCACCTATCTTACAATATGAGACAACTCTGGCCAGAATTTAATTTAATTTCCACTTTTATTTTTGCAAATAACTCAAGATGGCGAACATATCTAACACACTTTCCCCCTACTGTTTTCCTCAAAACAACCCTGTGAGGTGAGTAGGGCTGAGTGTGAGTCACTGGCTCAAGGTCATCTAGCTGGCTTTCATGATTAAGGCAGGACTTGAATTCAGAGTTTTTCATTTTCTACCTTGGCGCCTACACCACTAGACCAAACTGGCTTTATTATGTCTGATATGATTAAAACAGCCTTACCAGCACCATTTTTTACAAATACAACTTAAACTCAATAATGGGCATACATAACATCCTGGCCCAATGCCTGTGAAAATAAGAAGATCTTCTTAAATGCAAGCAGGATCCATCATCACCTCAATCTTGCTAATACAAAATCAGTGGATTACTGTTCTGATCTTTATGCCACAAAGATGGCAACATATACGCGCTATAGGCCTCTTAACTGAGAATTACTTCCATTAGAAAACATTTAAAACACTCCATTTCTAATCACACAAACCTTTTGGGGATTTTCTTTTTGCCTTTTTGCCTTTCGTTTCCTGCTCTATTAACAGATCACCTTCTTTAGATTTGGATACAAAAGGTTTTTCCAAAGATCTCTTTTTTCTGGTATTTTCTTCCTCTGGCTCATGTTGTAATTCAGACAAGAACATTACACTGAATGAAAGAAGTCATGGGATTAACAAGGATTTGAAATATACTCCCAGATTTAATGGTTTAAAAATTACATTTTGTAATGCAGGCAAACAACATACACATCCAAAGTGGCTTGAATTGATTTAACTGAGACACCTTGCCCACACAAAGTTTGTTCAGGAAAAGTTTATTAAAAATCTCGTCCTATCAAGCTGGATCTATGGTAGGATAAGCTCAGAATCATGGTGAAACACAAGCTGAGATATGGCATGGCTAAGAGTCTAGGAAACATGACAAGGAAGGTATGATTTTAATCTTCATTCCTATCGGTAGCCCTCAATTTGTGATCAGTTGCTTAGCAATCGTTCAAAATTACAACTGACTTCCCAAAAGGTACTTAAAACCGTAAAGTTCCAATTGCCGCCTCTCTCCCTAAAGTCGCATGACTGCATTTGAGGAGCTTGGCAACTGGCCTGCATTTATGGCAGTTTGCAGTGTCACATGGCTATGTGTCCACAATTTACGTTTTTGCTGAAAATTAATTCCAGTTTTCAGCAAAAACACTCCATCATGAACAATGACTGCCACATTCGCTTAATGACCATCACAAGAAAGGTTGAAAAAGCAGGTCTGTCATGTGGGTGACCCACCTTACAACTGTCATGACTTATGAGCGTAATGGGCAGACTCCCTATATCTCTTATCAAATCCGACTCCAACTACGTATTCTGTCATTTCCTCTTTACAAACCACGGTATAGTTTTGCAAGGAGACAAAACTGGTTCACTGAATGTCTCCCCCACCCCCCACCCCCCAATATGACAGAGCCATTATATTTTCTTCACAAAGCCATATGGAATTATTTCTCATGTCAACAATAATGCAACCCAACAGCTGTCACAAATCTTACATCCATACAAATGTATCACTTACTATTATACCTTGTTTGAGATTCAGAGGAAACCGGTATGTCTTTTTTCTTTTTCTTCTTTTTTCTCACTTCATTGTTCAATACTGTTTCATGGCTTTGAGCGCTGGGAACGAATTCAGACATCTGTTCTTTAAGTTTCTTTTTTATTTTTTTCTTAATTGCACTTGCTTCTTCCTCAGCCACTTGCTGTTCATAGGCTTGAATTAACTGTTCTTCTTCGTCATCTAATTCAGATCTGTCTCGTAGTCCACTCAAGGCAACTTTTATGTTGCTGTCACCTTTCCAATGAGCTGCATCTGCCTGCAATATGCTGTCTGTTTTTTTCTTTGTCAAAACTTGAATCTGTTTTTCAGAACTGTGTAACTTCGTTTCAGATGCCTTTTCTTCCTCATTAAGTTGTTTCTGTAGGGCTGCCTTTTTCTTCTTCTTAAGCCCAACTTGCTTGCTTTCCTCTCCGCTAACATCATTTGTTTTTTCTTCAATTGATGCTTTATCTCTCAACGTACGTTTTGGGATCCGTGGACTTCTTTCCTCAGGGTTATATGTGCTGTTGATAATGGGCTCGTTTTCGCTTCCTTTGGTCAGATGATTTTTTAATGTCTCCAGCTGTAATCAAAACGTTGGGAAGCCATTTATCGGTACACTAATATGCAATTATTATAAAAAATAAATACAATCTTTTATTAATATTTCACTTTTAGTGTTTGAAGGGGAACAATTAAGGTTTACTTGTACTACAACAGATGGAATTCATATAAACATGAAAAGATTATAGGTTTGAGCAAGATTTTAATGTAACTCTTATAAGAAAAATCCCCTCCAGTCTTCTTGAGCCCCTGCAAAATTGCTCTGTCAGCATGTCATGCTGAAAAACATATCTTCAAGTATAATGAAAATAATATCCTACGTTTATACCTAACATAAATATTACTTGTTGAAAAGGCATAATTTACTGACCACAGACCTAGTATCAGAAATAATATTTAACAAAAGCTCATAATAATCAAGAGAGTTTAAACATTTTTCAAACATTTTAAAAGGGATATATCTACACTGCAATCTGGTAACCTGAAATTACTGTACACAGAGTTATATGCACTTCTTTTATATTAGATATATTTTGTCAGAAGACTGAAAAACCAACTTCAATTTCAAAAGACCTGATCATAACATTTGGAAATAATTAAAACTTATTTATAAATATGTACATACTCTATTTTAACTCTGCAAAAATTCTGATATATTTTGTCTAAACTAGTTTTCCATTTCTTTCCTAGTCACCTTCTGATGTTTCTTTTTCTGTATCAACTATAACCTTCATTTCTTAACCTCGCTCCCAATTCCTTTATTTTTCTCTCAAAAGAAATCCTGTCTTTCTCTTCTAAACCACTGGAGACTGGTTTTGTGAAACTGTTTTTTGGAATATATGTATACTTATTCCAAGACTTCACTTTATTTAGATAATAAATAAAAATGTTTCTGTGCCTTTCTTGCACATTACATTTCAGAACAAAAGCAAATCACTTCGAATTATCATTATTAATGGTAATTGTAAAGGAAAATCCTGTGGACTTTTAATGCCTGCATTATTTATTTGAAATACTTTCATTCAATTCTGTAGTAGACCAAATTTCAGGACAATGTCCAGCATAAAAATGCACAAAAATTTCTTAAATCTGTCCAAAAAAGAACACAATATAAAAATAGTAAAATACCAAATCAGGCTTGCAAGAAATACACATTTTTGAGAGACAAAGTGATGAAAGGATTATGAAGGAAAGAGGACTAAAATCAGTATTTGCTGAAAAATATGTTCTGAAAGCATTCCTAAATTTATTCTGCCAGCCAAAAAGAGAGAGAGAGAGAAAATAATCAAATCCTCTTTGAATTTATGCATCTGTAAGCCCTAACAATGCACATTTTAAAGGATATTTTTGACCCTGAACATGCCAAATCAGACAAGGAAATAAAGTTAGGAATGTGCAAAACATACCATTCTGAGGACAAACTTTAAGGAGAATTTTGTGAATTTTTCCTTTGGATCATACAGAATTGGCTGTTCCAGATATTACAATAATTTTCCTGGAATAAAAGCCAATTTCCCCTTGGCCTTTCTTCCTATCCATTCTGCTGCCCTCATCCTGCACTTCACCATGTGCAGAGATCCCTAACGTTCAAAACATATTTTCAGGGTACAAAAGCCATAACTGTAGAAGAAGGGATACTAACAAAGATTGCATATTGAGTTCATTTAGTCTGAAAATGTCTCTTTGAAACAAAACTTCTGCTCACCGGGCATTTTTCCTGGATGCTAACCATGACTTTCAAATGTAACCACTTGTAGTGCAAGGAAAAGAATAAAACAGAATCATGACACCCCACTTTAATAGCACTAATTACAGAAACAAGTCTTTAATTTCAAAGGGTATTTTCAAGTTATAACTTTTTTTTTTACTCTAAAAGGAAGCAAATAATTTGGGGGTGAGGGTATGAAACTATAAAGCTTCACCAATCCATGTCCTTCAAAATGTATTGACCCTGCAAAGGATAATCAAAACTCCCTGACACTATTTATGAAGGTGGAATTTGGAAATTCTATGCTTTACTTTTTGGAAGCAACAAACATTTATTCATAAGTATATTCAACTCACCACAATATTCTCTGGGATGTTTAACTGTTTCTTTTTAATTTTCTTTTTCTCAATTAGACCAGCATGATTCCTGAATATTTCTTCAAAACGAACCTTAGTTTTTGCCTTGGCTTCGCTCTCAACTGGGAAATTTAAAAAACAATTTGATAACTTGGTTTATTAGATAAGATAGACTACCACATTTCCAAAAAATATGTAAAAGAAACTTAGAATGAACAATTCCATGCATGGAATTGTAAAAAACAAAGAAATATACCAGGCCTTATTGCAAAAAGGAACAGATAATTAATAGCTTTAGAGTATTTGAATATATGTCACATATGTCTTATAGGTCACCATTTATTTAACGCCTTTACATCATTGGGTGTCCAACTTTTTGGCTTGCCTGGGCTTCATTCAGAGAAGAGGAATTGTCATGGCCACATATAAAATATATAATATAGTTAATGTTAAAAGTTTACAATCTTGTGGGGCCGCATTACTAGCTTTCCAGGGCTGCATGCGGTCTATAGGCCATGGGTTGGACATGTCTGCTTTACTCACACCTTATCTCTATAAAATTCCAGACAGCTCACAATATCAGTAAAATATATAAATATAAAAAAATAAACAATAATTACAGCAATAACAGAAATATGTGAAATAACAAAACAGCAATTTTGTAAGAACAGCATGAGAATTACACATTGAAAAACCTCTTTAATAGGAAATTCTTTGCCAATATCTACAATGTTTAGTAAGGAAGTCAGAAAAGTCTGCACCAGAAATAATATTCTTTAAAGCAAGAAAACTTAAAATTAAATAGTTTTGTTTTGGATTTTTTTTTAAAAAAAATTGTTATACATTGTGTGAAATATATAAAAACATTAAAGTTTGCACCTGCTGGCATTTTCACATCTCTCAAATATGAAACTATTAAACTTTTCTTTGTCCAAATTCTTCATTCTGTATATAAAAACAGAATATGTGTTACTGTTAATGAACAGTTGTGTCTAAGCAATAAACAAAACTATAACAACACATCTGAAGACTCAGATTCAAGTTCATCTTCAGCCTAGCTGTCTCTCGACTTCTATTATCTCACAGCCCATCCTACAATATTCTCGGAATTGTTGAGGGAATAAAATTGGAGGGAATAATTTGCATGGTGTCTTGAAATCTTAAAATTTTTGATATAGAAATCTAATTTGATTTTTGTTAAAAAAAAAAAAAATCATGACCACAGCATGTTGTTGAAGCTGCTTGGTGTACTTTATTTCACCGGTTCACCAAAGCTCACCAATCTGATTTCCAAAAGCAATTATAACACGGTATATAATATATTAATGCTTGTAAACGCACAACCAATTAAATACAACGCCTATTGCAAGATCAAAACGTTAAACATCATCTTGTCAATCGGAGGTCCCGAGGATTGTTTTAGAACTCCCCTCGAGCAACATAGGACGAAGGAGAGATGCCTGGGCGGTCCCCCTTCCAGATGTTACTAAACTCCTAATTTAAAGAAGTCACCCGACATGGGATGCGGGGGGGCTGAGTTAACATCTGGAAGGCCACGTGTTTCCCACGTTCGGATTACACACTGGCGTCCCAGGATTCTGCGCCTGGGGCGGTGCACGCGTAAGCCCTTAACAACCACCAACCGGCGTCATCACAAAGAGAGGTTGCAAATCAACTCGGTTGAACATTCGGTGAGATCTCCGCTTTCAGCCTTTCTGCACCCTTATAGAACAGTGACCGTTTTCAGACTCGGGATCCACCCAACCCTCCGCAGGATCCGACCACACCGGGACCAACCAAGCCAGCCAGAAAGTGGGTGGACCCACCCACCGACCGCCATCCCGCTCTGCCAGGCTTTTGCAAGCTGGGCAAAGCGGGATGGGTGGGTCGATTTTGATTTACTATCCTGGCTTATGCACCGAACAGCCGAGATCACTGATCTCGGTTTGTTTTTAAGGGAAGGAAACGAAATGGCTCCCCCAGCGCAGGCGCCGGGCTCTCTAAGCGCAGCCCCCTCGAACCTCCTCAGCAGGAAGAGGCGAGAAAGGAAGACGCCCCTGCCAAAGGCCAAAGCCCACTCCCGCAAACGGCGACCCTACGCGGATACCTACCGCCGGAGGCGCGGCGGTGGGCGGGCGAAGGGACCGAGCGACCCCGCAACGAAAGCAGGAGGAGCCCGAGGCGGGGAAGGGAGGAGCGGTGTGCCCACGTGACCCTCAAGCAGAGCTTGGCTGGCGGAGCCCAAGCGGCGTCTCAGAGGAGCCTGATTCCCCTCTAGACTTGTTTTGTGTCGATCGGCGACCTCTTCTCGCCAAAATATCGCACAGAATGGGATGGGGAGGGGGCATCACAATCCTCTTTTTTTTTTTTTTTTTTTTTGTAAAGGAAGGACAGTATTGCTTCGGGATAAGGGAAAGAAGCTGGGTGAGGGGGCATGAATTAAGGATGCCATGCTATGAAAAAGAGCGAGGGGGGTCTATCTCTGTATTTCTCAAACTCATCCATTTCAAGATAGATGGATTTCAACTTCCAAAATTCTGGAAGTTGGAAGTCTACACATCTTAAAAGTTACTGAGGTTGAGAAGTGTTGCTCATCTGGTTCGTTTAAGATGAAGTTAGTGTGAGATTCCAAGATCTTTACATTCTAGGTGTTACGGTGTACAAGTACTTGGCTATTCAAGATGAAAGAAGAATTACACAAAGTTCAGTAAGGTATCTATAATGCTTGAGGTAAATACAGAATTTTGCAAAATGCAAACAATATAAGTTGGATTTATAAACTTACATTATAAATATTATAAAGAGTATAAACTTAATTTATACATTAAGGCAGAGTCTTTTTGAATGATTTGCAATATCTCAAACTTGGCAACATTAAGGTGTGTGTGGACCTCAACAACTTAAAAGGTGCAAGATTCAAAAAACATTGACTTAAAACATTTCTTCCCATTTGTTTGCCACCTAGATTGAATTGTCTTTTATAAAATAATCTACTTTCCTGCTTCCTGCTTGTTATGTATAATCTCTAGCATTGCTTCCCAGTCTCTCAAAAGTATCTCACTCTATGCTGGGCATGATAGCTGCAGTTTGCAGACAGTGAGAACGAAGTACCATAGAATTTGCCTCACTATCCACATCTATCAGTCTGCCTATCTATTTACCTACCTATGGTATATATCTTTTTATTCCAGCTTCATTTTTATAAATAACCCTAATTCATAACAACAGCCCTGTGAGGGTGGTTGGGCTGAAAGAGAGAGAGAGAGAGAGTGAGTGGTCCAAAATCACCTAGCTGGCTTTCATGCCTAAAATGGGACTAGGACTCACAGTTCTCTGGTTTTCATCCTGCTGGCTTAACCACTAGACCAAAGTGGCTTTTTATTATTTATGTATTTATTCATTCAATCAATTTCAATTGCACACTCACGACTCAGGAGGCTTGCAGTTAAAACCTAAACAGTACCAAAAAGATTAAAAAAAACAATAGCAATGCAACTTTACAAACAATTAAACAAAAGCAATACAATAATTCACTAGAAGAGCCAAACCATTCAAGAATAGTGCAGGGGTTTTATGGGCTCCAAACGCACTTCTATCCCAGGCCAAATGGCTAAGCCACATCTTCAGTCTGTTTTGGAGGACCAGCAAGGTTGGGGCCAGACAGACCCTGGAGGGAAATGATGTTCCATAGAGGGCAGATACAGCATCAGAAAAGTCCTTGCGTCTCTCCAAATGACATTCTCTTATGGATAGAACATGAACCAAGCCTCTTTGGCTGAATATGATGGGGTGTCATATTCCAATGTCCCTGGAGAAAGGTAGTCCCTCAAACAAGCTTCGTAGGTTTGAGCATCTTGAATTGGACCTGGAAGCAAATGGGCAGCCAATGCAGCTTTTGGAAAAAGGGTATAATGTGCACACGTAATTGCCCAGTCTGCTTCATTTTGCATTAATTGAAGTTTCCAAATTTCATTTCATTTTCATTTTCATTTGATTTGATTTATATACCGCCCTACTCCTGAAAGACTCAGGGCGGTGAACAGGCACAAGATAAAACACATAGAATACAAAAATTTAAGAGCAGAAGTAAAATCGAATTAAATCAATTTAGCCCAAGACAAATTTAAAACCCCAGGTTAAGAACAAATTAAAATTTACATTAAAAAGAGAATGGGAGAGGTTAGGTCAGACCAGCCTGGTGAAATAAAAAGGTCTTGAGAGCGCGGCGGAAGGTGCGTAGATCCGGGATCCTCCGTATCTCCGGGAGGAGCTCATTCCAGATAGTAGGTGCCCCCACAGAGAAGGCTCTCCCCCTGGGAGCCGCCAGCCGACTGTTTGGCCGACGGCACCCGGAGGAGTCCCTCTCTGTGAGAGCGTACCGGCCGGTGGGAGGCCGTTTGCGGCAGCAGGCGGTCCCGTAAATAACCAGACCCTAAGAGCAGCTTCCAGTAGAGGTTCTTATAGTAGTCTTTACAGGAGGTGCCCGGGGCATAACTCACTGAGTATAAAAATTCTGATCCCGGAAATGAACACAACTAGTACACAACCTGAAGCTGGGCAAAGATCCTCCTAGCCACAAGTGTTACCTGCTCTTTCAGTAGGAGTTGTGAATCCAGAGAGCTCCCCAGATTGGGCACATGATTGTTTGAGGAAGCGCAACCCCATCCAAAACCAAAGATAGTAAATTCCTAGATCCATGTGGCCCCAAAAACCAAAGCCACTCAGTCTTTCCAGGGTGAAGCTGAAGTCTGTTGTTCCCTCATCTAAACCCTTACATTCTAGGCACTGAGGTAGGCTGTTGCAGCATTGTTTACTTCAACAGGGACAGAGATATATCGCTCGGTATCATCAGCCTTAATTCTTTAATAAAGATTAAACAGGATTTAAATCAGCAAAGCAATGAAATGAATGAAGTTTTTAGCATTGCTTTAATTCCTCTAATTGATGCTGTTTGTACAGGTAACAAAGTATTCACTGGCTCTACTACTTTATACCACTTTAGGTGATCTCCCTGGGGGAAAAGAAAGGAAAGGAAATTGATAATTGAATTCACTGTTTTAGTGAACATCTTCATCTCTTAAATAATACATATCTGAATTGTAACTTATTGGAAGTGTTCAATCTAATATAATTTCACCAGAAATGACGGTGCTAATCATCTATAATCCAGTTAATTTAGATAGGGTAGCAGGAAGTAGGTAGAAGGCTTCAGAATTTCTAGGAAAACCTACATTAGTGCTTAAAACTAGAAATGCTGTTATTACTCCTTTTAAACACAAAATAAAAATAATGCTTAATTACAGTCATCTTTGTAGGCTGTTGTTTTTTTTTCCTAAGCCATTTCAACAATAAAATGGAATATTTACTTGCTGCTTTTCTCTCCTTTGTTTGATTTATTATGCTTACATCCTAAGCAACGCAATTGAATTTTCCAATATTCAACAACATTGTTTATTTAAACATTTATCCTCCCACTGAATCCTGCAGCACATGAGATAGAGATGCAGAGGGAGTGTAAATATAATCCTTTAGCAACTTAGATAAGGATTTTCATCAGGTACAATTCCATCCCAGAAATGAAGCTATTTTGTTTTAGAATAAATGTCAACAATCTGAAGAAAGTCAACTTTCCAGAGGATAATTTGCTGGCTGGTATGAATTCAGATCCTAAAATTATGGTTAAAATAGGCACAGAGTCTTTTGTTGAAGAAATGTATAATTTACAATGGTTTATAATTCTATCCAATATGTGCAGTATTTAAAAAAAAAAAGGAAGCACAAAGTGTCATTATTGCATACTGTAATAGTTTTTGATTTCTAGATACTTTCCAACATGTAGTTAAAACTACACATAACTGCATTTTATTTTATTATTATAATATTTTCTTTACTTATTTCGAGCATTATTTTGAGTGTTGTAATAAGAAAACTCAGAAAACCTCAGATCTCAGGATTCAACTGCTGGCTAACTAAAGCTGCTAGGTTTGAGTGTTCCCCCTTTTCCCTCAATTTTTTTACCTTGTGTAACCAACATACAAAATTTTTTTATTTCAGTTTTTTTTATTCTGCCCTCATTAATTTTATAAATAATTCAAGGCAATGCATGTGCCTAATACTCCTTCCTCCCCATTTTTCTCACAACAACAACCTGTAAGATAAATGGCTCAAAGTCACCCAGCAGGCTTTCATTCCCAAAGTGGGACTAGAATTGATAGTTTCTTGGTTTCTGTCCTGGATAGAAATAATGTTATTTTAAAAAATAGGTAATTAACTATGGTTTACCTATATACTCCAGTGGTGGGTTTCTCCCGGTTCGGTCCGGTTCGGCCGAGCCAGTAGCGGTGATGATATGACATCACCAAACCGGTTCTCCCCCCCTCCCCCCCACCCACCCATGTTATTCTTACCTTTTATTTGGTCCCACCCCCAATCTATTGCTGCCTCCTGAGTCCCAGCTGATGACTAGAGGGAAAAAACTGTTTAAACTCTTGCCGCGGGGCTTCAAAGGGCCGTCCTACATGATCAGTGTTAAAAGCAAACAAATGAGTCGGGTTGTAAGTGCAAGGACTAGTTGTAAGTGCGAGGACCTTCCAGAAATGACTCTGATCAGCTAGCCACGCCCACCTAGTCACATGACTTCCAAGCCACACCCACAAAATAAGCCACGCCCACAGAACCGGTAGTAAAAAAATTTAGAACCCACCCCTGCTATATTCCATCAGGTTTTGGACAAATCTTAAATGCAATCAGACATAATCAGTGCACCATTCCAGATCCCAACTACATGTCAAAAGACTAATTTCACAAACCATTTGTACATACAGTAGATAAGATTTTAACATAGCTGTTTGCTCTATCTTTTTTTCTTTCTTTTTTGACCTAACTCTCATACCTTTCTCCCCCCAAAAGGAGTTTCTGAAAACTCAAAAACCTGCAGACTGTGTGGTCATGCCTATAATATAGAATTGATATATAAGCAAATTTTGCATAATTTAATCTATTTAATACAGTTTTTGAATTTTTCTTATAGGGTATATAGGCATTTGGTACTCATAAGCAATTATACAGTATTTGCATGCAGATCTTTTAAGAATATTGTCTTCATACCCCATAGGGTTTATTTCCTTCAACTTAACATACAGGAGTGGCCAAAATTGTGGAAACCTTTTGGGGAAAGTGTGTTTTTGAGGTTTCATGG